GATGAGGATCCTCGAAAAATTAACTACTTTACTGAATTTTTGAGACCTCATATGTCAGCTTGTATTCGTAACGGATTAATTTCAAAGTTTCCATCAGAAAGTTCTGAAAGAAAGCATATCGGGTATTTCTGTGAATATCGCTTGGATATTCACTGTATTTGCAGATTGCCTGCTCGCAATAATATGATAGTTTGTAAATCATGTTTTAAACAATTTCACTCTGATTGCATTAAATTTTCTTCTACAGGAATATATTATCTCTTTATTTTTTTAACAAAATTTAATCTAATCACAGGTCTATGAAATCACTTGATAGAATCAATTTTTGAGATATATATTCCTGCAGAACCCTTTCATCCTAATTGCTCTGGACATCCAGATTTAGTTCCTTAATTATTTTTTAAAAAATATTAAAAAAATTACTATTGAAAAAGGAAGGTTAATTAGTTTCAAGATACTCTAAATATGATATGATTTTAAATTTAGATATCAATTTACAACTTTTATCCACTTGATATTACAATTTGACTAAATTTATCTAATAACTAATTTTACCTTCCTTTATTTACAAAATAAATCCAATTGAATTATTAATGAATTAACAAAGCTAAAAGCATATTTATCAATTGTTTTCTTGTTATTCTTTTATTTGTTTGTTATCCCTTTTTTCTTATTTATGTATTTTATTATTTGTGTATTTATTGATTTATATATATATTCATTTATTTCATTATTTATTTAATTTTTACATTTTTCGTCTGCCCATAACTGAAATAAAATAAATAAACTTAATAACTTTTAAGTTGTAATGAACTACTCGATTTTTTCCCCTGTATGATAGTAAGTCTTAAAAACAAGTTCAGATGAGTATATAAGAAATACTAAAGGTGGAAATGACTTATGAAATGAACAGGAGAAGTAAAAAAAATAATGGATAGGTAGGATAGACATTTGAAATGCTGAGATAAATAGTTAAGATAAGCAGAATGAGGAATGAAAAGAATGGGAAGGACAGATTCATGTATTAGATGAGAAGAAAGAAAAGGAAGAGTAAAGAACGAAAAGAAGTAGGATGAAAAGAATATGAAGGATTAGAGAAAATTTTACGGAAAATCCTTTATTGATCCGATTACGTTTTGACCTGTTACTATGTCATCCAACCATAGGCACATTATTTAGAACTTTCGTTTACTTTTGGGTTATTGAAATAAAAAAAGGAAACTGATGCTTGTGTCTCAAATACAAAAAGATAACTCAGAATTATTATAAATAAGTTATGTGCAATCTTGTTAAAAATTTGGAAAGTGTAAAATTGTGTTATATTTTGTATCAATCACCTTGGCCCCAAGAAAGGTGTTTCTCGAAACAAATGACAAAACAGAGCAGCTCAGATTGTAATTTGAAGGGTATTTGTTTTCCCAAATATTGATCCTGATTACAGCGGCTGCTACAGAAACAGAACAAAACCGTCTTCAAAGAAATCGATAATAAATGAAGGTGTTACAGGAGTTACAGTACTTCATGAAAAATATCTCGAGCAAAAAATATTTTCAAAATATATTTTTGTAAAAAATGAAAAATCAAAGGTTATATGATGTCATTATTTCTAAGAGTTAAAAACGTTTATGTCTGTTAGATCGGAAAGAATTTTGGTCAAAACTTTTTTCTCAAAATTGTTAAAAATGTGCCTTGTGAGTGTGATCCAACATTTAATTAAATACGTTGTGTGAAGTGTAAAAACAAGGAGATATAGATACAATAGATACATGAAATATATATACATGGGTGTCCCAATAAACATGGGAATTCATTGACAAATTTTATATTGTTTTTGGCTGTAAAGATGTGTCTATAATGTCCCAGCAAGATGAACAGTGAAGACTCTGTTTGTATACTGTAATTTTCTTGTTTTACCGAGTATAACCATATGCAGTCAAAAAATAAACAAACAAATTGTAATAATACAGGAAATCTATCGGATTTCAGCATTCTCAGTAGGCATCACTGTACTAAATCAAAGAATTATTTAAAAANCCAAAAATCGTTCTCTAGGAATATACCGATAGGAGGGGGGCTGGAGGGGGGCCAAAAATCGTTCTCTAGGAATATATACCGAAATTTGGCCTTAAACTCAGATAATTTAAATTGTACATATAAAAACACAGCATCACGGGGTTTTAATAAATTATTTGTGTTGAAGCCATGGAGAGAGAGTTAGGTTTTATTTGAATCATATCAATAATAAACAAATTCATTTAACTGATTCGCAATGTAGCTTAGAAAACGCGAATTTTAACTAAATCCAAAGTTTTTGTTTATATTTAAATAAACTTGCGCTTTGCCGCGTAGCTTTAACCCGCGTAGAACCAGAGTAAGATCGTCTTCGTAATTACGAGTCAGCTCCAGGTACGAGTTCTCTCCAAGCATGACACCGGGTTTTAGAAAATAACTTTCCTCCCTGCAGAAGAGCAGCAAAACAATGTGTAGGATTTTATTTGCTGAATATTTGGGTAAAAAGAATTAAAAAGAATAAAAAAACTTGCCTTTTGATGTCCAATTTTTCTTTTCTTTTTTTAGGAACCAAAAATATTTTTTTGACAGAAGTTATATGTTTAAAATTCAGTGATTGGTGATGGACCAAACCTCTGTAGAGTAAAAAAGTAGATGTTAGTTCCACTCCACATTTATTGAAAATATATTTCGGTCTGGGTTGACCCTCGTCAGTTCTAACGATATAATAACCATCAAATCGATAAAAAAATTAAAAAATGTATTTTTGCGAAGAACAATTAAAATTTTCAGGGTTTACCTGAATTTTTGTTTGAAAAATATTTTATAGAGGATGAATTAAGTTGCCTTTTAATATCGCATTTTTCATTTGTTCCCCCATCAAATAAAATCATTTCAATTAGACATCATTCTTATAGCGTGCCACCCCAGGGATGGCACATGGGGGGGCACGTGGACCTCGAGTTCCACATTCAGATGCTTAAGATTTGCAGTACCTTGCAAGTTTTCAACACAACTTCCGTTTCATTTATTCCTTTTTAAGGGTTAAAAACTTTTCTCTAAACTTTAAAAATTCAATGATTTTTTTTTTAACCATTGAACTCATTTTAAAAATTGAAATTATGATAAAATATATATATACTCTAGGTTTGAGATAAACTGTTTGTTATACTCTGTTTCCAGCTTGCATGGGAAATTTTTCGAAAATTCATTTTAGGAAGATTTATAAGACAAAAAAAAATGCAAAAATTTAATAAATAATTTTCATTTTGGAAGGACTTAAGCACTTGCAATAATAGCCCGTTTCGGCAAAAATAAGGCTTTTCATGTCAGAACTTTTCCTGAGCTTAATTACAGGCATTTTCATTTTTTCAATGCAAATTTTACTTAAATTTGAGCAACAAAAATTTTCCGTATATATATATGTTTAAAAATTAATAAAACTTTTTAAAGTAGATAAAACAAGCCTCCTGCACAAATCAATATTAATCATTGAATTGTATGTTGTATGACGTACCATTATTCCCCTTCTTTAGTTATAAATTGCTAAATTTTAAAACAGCTATAAAATTGAATTCATATGTGCAAATTCACATTTTGTATCATATGTTTAAGAACAAATAAAAAAATTACTGCAGGGTATAAACTTTTAAGATTTTAGCTGCTCGAGGGGCCAGCAAAATAATCTTTTGCTTTAAAGTTGATCGGCTTTCTAATAAATAAATACAGAACATGCTCTCTCATCCTTTCTCTAAAATCTGTATTTCTCTCTGTCTTATTTGGCTTTCTTTTTTTCAATCAGGACAATTACTCCGAAACTGAAAATGTTGATCAATAGGGAGTCTGGAATTGGACTGGTCATGTGATTTAGAGAACCAATAGGAATTAGGAATTGTCAGAATTTGAGAAAGTCGAGAAAGCACAGCTGAACTTCTATATCTACACAGTCGGAACTAGTCGAATAGTCTCTCTCCCTCTCCACTATACAGGCGTATGCACTCGGTTACAGTATACACTGGACAGAGTATACTTGCTTTCTCAAAATTGAGATCATTTTCAACATTCTTTATTTAAAAAAATGAAAACTGAGGATGAAGATGGGCAAAGTATGCTGTTTTTAGCTAGTGACCTAAAAACAAAAAGCAACAGTCAAAGTAAGTATTGAACTATTAATTAAAATTATGCAAAAAATCATGATATGGATACTGCAATGTAATATTTAAATGGGTAATTTCCTTGAGAACGATTTTTGGACCCCCCCCCTCCCCCCCCCTCCTATCAATTTTGTACATGGATCTTACAGAAAGTGTCTTAACTTATCCTAACCCTTGGCCGCAGCGCTCGGCCCACTAGCCTGTCCTAGCCGCAGCGCTCGGCCCCCTAACCTGTCCTAGCCGTAGCGCTCGGCCCTGAAATTGTCTTAACCTTATCTAACACTAAATAATACAAAATAACTTGAAATTAAAGGTCATGTACAAAATTGATAGGAGGGGGAGGGGGCGGGGGGGGTCCAAATATCGTAGGACGGACCCTTTATATGTAATAATCTTATTCTTGAATATATATATTACTGATCTTATGATAAGATAAATCATTATACTTATGAATAATTTTATTTTTGTCACTAATTATCATATGTTTCCATACCATATTATATAATCTGGATTTGTTCTAGAAAATTATTTTTGGACCTCCCGGCAATCCCCGGCGATTCACCGACAAAGGGTCAAACGACCCAGGGTCAAACGACACAGGGTCAAACGAAGAAATGTTTTGTAACAGGGTTTCACAATTATTTTTAGATGACGAGATATTTGAAGTCCAAGAACTTGTGGACCAAGTACAAAATTCCGAGACAAATGCCGACTGGTACGCTGTCAGGTATATTTAAGTCATGAAGCATAATTTCTTAAAAAGTGAAAACTGAAGACATATTAGGAAATATATTTTTGTAATTAGTTAATGATTCAATCAAGGAACCTTTGATTTAAGGACGCTTCATGCTACTCTTTCTTGTCCATGTTTGGGTTTTAAAGGCACAATTGTAGAAATTTTAAAGTAAAAGGCGTGCCCGATTTACAACGGTACTCGAAAAGACTTTATTTGATCAAGAGTGTTAGAGATTCATTTATTGTTTTCTATAGAAAAAAAAACTTTAACAAGTATTCGGGAAAAAATCTTAAGTTTACTACCCAAGAATTCGTGAGAAATCCAAATAATAAAATTGTTGATTTTTTATTCAAATTTTATTTATTTTATTTCATCTCAGGAAAATAAAGATTTTAAAATGTCCAAACAAGTCATCATACTTATATATATCATTATAATAAATAGAATCAATTTATAATTTTAGATAATCCTAAGCAATTGTGCAGCAATCATGCAAATTCCAGTAAAATTAATTGCTCTATAGTCTGTAACAAAATTAATTTAATACACATATATTTTTTTTTAGAAATCACATCGCTTTCCGAGCTGAGAAGAGTTTGGGTCACATAGCCTGGGGTTGGGAGGAGGCTGATGTATATTTGATCAGTGAATGCTGCATTCTTCTCCCAGACATGAAAACTAAACCAAAGGAATTTAGAGGATTTTATTCATTTGGGATTCGCGAAAAAGGTCGTTTTGACTTATTGACTTTGCGTTTTTTGTTTTTATATTTTTAGAATTCGATTATTATTTTAAGTATGAATTGAAAGAATTTACTTCTTCATCGAAAAAGTAAGGAAAATATTTAAAATATAAGTTTTAAAAACTGAATTTAAATGAACCTATAAATGTCAGCTGGGACACAAAAGTCGAGTGAGTGTGTGTAATCGATGTGATGCATATCAGAAGACAGATGTCTTTAGTGTCAGGTAGACCAACAGTCAGCACTTTAAAATTAAGATTTTAAAAACAAATTAAAAGTTAAAAGAATTGAGTTTTGCTACAAACTCTTGATTTTTTAATCCCATTTATTTTGCAACTTTAGTTATTTTAAAATAATTAATTATGTTAATGATAAAATAATCTAATTTTGAAACATCTAAGGTTGCAAATATATAGAGATTAGAAAATTTGAGTTTGCGGCAAATGCTCAATTTTATTGCGATAATCTAGAATTGGACCTATCTTCTTCTTCATTTATTTGATTTTACAAAGGAACTGATTACTGGCCTCAAAATATAATTTTTTATACGTTTATTTTAGAATTATGGGAAAAAAGGGACTGATTTTTTTATTTTTATTTACAGCTGTAACCTTAAAATCTTTATCTGATCAATAATCTTAATTAGGATATCGTCATTTTTATACCTTTAAAAAGGTGTTTAATTCTGTCAGTTTTCAATTTCAAAGATGTACCTTTGTAAATCGGACATGCCAATGTACATTGGTTTACTTCAGACGGTGTTGGCAGTCCAGGGGTATATATTTTTTTCAGAATCATCCCCCCGCCTTAAGATCTTGGGGGGGGNGAGGGGGGGGGAAACAAGAAAATCGGCAACAAAATATCAAGTATTTTCATCGGTTATTTTACTTTTCACCCAAAATGTTATTTCCCCAATTCGTGAATATAATCACACAAAAAATATACCTAACTTCTGGGGAAAATTTTATTTTCAAAAGGAGGATGTGATGATTTTTAAAGAACTTATACACAACTGAAAAAAAATATATAAAAGTTGTTGTTAAGACACCTGCTGCTAAAGCATCTGCAGTGGCCGACGAAGTGTGGACGATGCAGAAAACCAATGGTTGGAAGTATTACCAAGTAAGTATAATTTTGGTGCTAGGAACTTTCCCAAAAATATTTTTCCAAGGGAAACTTCTCAAATGCCAATTTCCCAAGTGGCAACTTCCCCATGAAGGAAAAAATGCATTTTTCCCATGAAGGAAGTATTAAAGTATTTAAGTTTTACATTTTTAAATAAATTTCCCAACTTTTTTAGAAAATACTAACTTTAAAAAAAATTCTTTTAGTTTCTCTCAGTTAGTTAAGGCAAGCATGTTAGCGGACTACCCCCTTTCTTCAAAGGGTAAAAATGTATTCAACGATCCTTTTTATTATTTAAGGCTAGGATGGGGTTGGGGGCCGAGCGCTGCAGCTATTACTTGTTTTAAAGAAAGAATATTGCATTATTTAAGGTTAGGTTAGGCGTCTGAGGTGCCGCAGGCGGGCTAGGGGGCCGAGCGTTGCGGCTAGGATGGGCTAGGGGGCCGAGCGTTGCGGCTATTACTTATTTTAAAGAAAATATAGTAAATTATTTTAAAAGGAAATTGTTACTTGGGAAAATGTGCATTGGGGAAGTTGCCGCTTTCCTTCATGGGGAAGTTGCACTTGGGAAAATGTACTTTTGGAAAAAATGTACATACTTTACAAGTCGACGTTCATTTTTATTTTCTAAAATAATCCGTTTATTTGTTTTTCTGATGAAACCTTTCAGCGAAGTGCTGAATATTGTCTGAATACAGTGAGACACATAAATCTAGACATTTAAATTTAGATATCACCAACCACACACATCCTTGGACTGATGATTATAATATTTCTATCGAAGAATATATATCCTCAACTGACATGATAGTCTGTATTTTTCCAAGTTTGGTTGAGATTTCTCTTTACCGGTTTTAACTTTTCGAGACACAAAAAACTGTAGAGAATTAAAATCATTTTTTTCGTGAAATGAGCCTGTGTAGTGTGTACAGTACACTGCACTGCACTGTATATTTGTATTGGACTACTTTAAATCACAATTTGAGTCTGACAGTCGTCTTACTAGTCTGAAGTTTTAAGAGTTGTGCTGTAAGTTCACAAGAATGTTGTTTGTACGAATATTGATATATCCTATGCTAACTATATGAATGAAGCAGTTTCCTTTAGTTCATTTTCCCAAGCATTGACATTATTTTATTTAGTCATGAATGTGCTCAGAGGTGTCCTATGCAATGTCTCCTACTACACAGTAAACGGGAACTAGTCCAACATATGTACATGAAACATGGGAAATTCTACTGTGAACTTTGTGAGAAGATCTTCACTGACCTTAGGAAAACAACCAACCAAATTTTTTTCCTTTAAAGGGATCGTCGTTGTATTTTCAAGTGACTTCTGTGTAAAGGGATCGTCGTTGTATTTTCAAGTGACTTCTATGTAAAGGGATCGTCGTTGTATTTTCAAGTGACTTCTATGTAAAGGGCATGCTTGGTTCACATTTTTCATTAAGTTACCCTTGAAATCTTAATCTTATAAGTGTAAGATATCATTGTTTTTCTAGCTTAAAGAGAGTTTTATGGAGAAATTTCTAAAGAAAAAACTATTTTTATGCATTCTTGATCTGACAAAGGTTTTAAGCAGTGCATAGGATCCATCTGGATCCGCACGGGAAAAAATTGGATCCGGATCCAGAATTTCTTTACTGATTTACTGAATTTTCTTAACAAAAAATAATTCTTTGTTTTAATTTTTCGCATATTTTTGTCCTAGAACTTGATGAACCATTCAGAAATGAGAAAATTTTTACAATCTCTCTTTTTTCAAAAGTTCAGTTGGGTTTTAGGAGTATAAAAGTTTTTTTTTCACAGTTTTTGGTTGATATTTTACCCCTTGGATCCGGATCCGGATCCGGATCCGTGGATCCGCATATTTTTGCGGATCCCGGATGCAGGAAGCCAAAATCTTGCGGATCCTAAGCACTGGTTTTAAGGTACCTTTGTGACTCGGAAATGCTACTTTATCAACGAAGAATTAACTCAACTGCTTTATAAATTCAAATTAAAATTTTTTTTTTGAATTTGAATAATGGATTGTTTAGAGAGATGAAGAAACACATGGCGGAAGAAAATCTTCTCTTGGTTCAGTAAGTTTTTTTCCTGTTTTTATCAGGGGTTTATTTTTTCTTAAAAAATCTTTTTACACCCTCTCCCGGCTCTCTGCTTTGAAAATATTTCTTTTTCTCTCCGATGTTGAGTATGTTAGGGTTTTTATTTTCTCTCAATCGAGTAAAGTGTTAAATGTAAGATTTTTCTAGGGGGAAAATCAAACAGGGGAAAATACTTGCCAGTTAATTTGTATTAATCTATAGATATGTATCTAATAAATTTCTAAATTTCAATTTTGTACAAGAAACCCTGAGTGATTAATTCATTCATTTTCTAAAACTGTTTCTCAAAATAGCTCGAAATAACAAAAAATAGCAGCAAACAACGAAATACTCAAAAACCAAGATTTTCTTTATAATTTGTGCGAAATAGCTTTTGCAAAATTATATCGAAATTTCGCGCAATTTTTACTCTAAACTTTAGAAAATCGTTGCGCAATTTGCACGATGTTCGTGCAAAAAATTTCGATTGGAAACCCCACTCGCAACCACATTCCATTGAGAAATGGCTGAGATTTATCAACTTTTAAATTAATTCATTGACGGTTAATAAAAATAGCACCATTTCTTTATTTACATGAAAATCATAATAACTAAATCTTTCATAAAAACATATGATGAAAAAGTGTGGACATTTTCAGATCCTGTATTTTGTGCAAAGAACAGTTTGGCGAGGACGGGAAAGACGGTAGACTCATGAAGGAACATTTGCTGCTGGTAATATTTTTAAAATATTTTTTTTATAGATAAGGGGTGTTGGGTCCGACCTTTCTCCTTGTTATTAGTTGTTCTAGAACAGGAACAATTAAATGACCAGGAATGATGAAAAATGAGGAGAAACAAGAACAAGTAGTTGAGAATAGTCTATTATTTTATAATTATTGTTGTACAGTGTCATGATGGTTTTGAAGATGAAATTTCTGGATATGAAGCAGCCAAGCTCTCTAATCCTGAAATTATTAAAGAAATATACCTCAGGTATTGCTTCAATTTTTAAAAGTGCTTTTAGAATTTGAACTTTACATGACTGTCTGTAAACATAATTTTAAGAAACTCCATTTTTCGAGAATAAGGACAGATTTACAACAATAACATTTAAAAGTTTTTTATTATGAATGAACTGGATATCAATATTTCTCTTTAGGTATTTACAATTGTCAAATTTCCAAAAAAAAAGTGACTTGCGTATTTCTACTTGCAGAAACAATGGAGAACACTTCAATGAGAAAACGCTTTTCTAGTTTGTAAAACTACTGAAATTTCCAATATTTTGATCACACAATGTTTTAAAAGGGTACCGTTGTGAATGAGTCATGTCCCTTGTTAAATGGAGGGTAAATACATCCACAAGGTCCTTCAAGTCAATTATATATTTGTTTAGATACAAACCCTCAAAGACTGAAACATACCAATTCGACAACTTCCAGTGTCCTCACTGCCAGCGATTATTTTCTGCGCGTGCTGGGCTTAAAATTCATGTTGGCATTGCGCATCGAGGTGTGGGCATCGTCTTCTGCCCACGCTGCCCATTTACTTTTAAAAATGTTGACGATTGCAAAGTCCACTTGAAGAAGGGACATTCTGTGAAGAAAAGTTATATAAAGAAACCGCAATCAGCAAAGTCTGACACTGTTAAGAAGAGTGCAGTTCCCAACAATGTTCCAATTTGTAATCCTTCATCATCAAATAGTGAAGCAACCAACAGTATCATTACTTATATCAAGGAAGAGAACAATATTTCTCAAGAGAATGTTACGGAACAAGTAATTGAAAATAACACAGACGCTCAAGAAACCCAAGTCCAGATCAAGACGGAAAATATGCAAGTGGACGGTCTTGGCGAGGTAGAAAAGGAAATAGTGATCGAGGAAGAAACTTTTGAATTAAAAACAGAAATTGTTGAACCAGCATTGCCTTCTACAGTCGAAACCAAGAAAAAAGTTAAGAAACCGTTACCAGGTCTTCTGAAAATCACATTTTCAGATACATCCTTGTAAGTAATATTTTAGTTATTTTTAATATTTTGAAAGATGTGAAGAATTTTATATTTTAAATAATCTATATTTTTAGGCCTGTAAAGCAACCACAGCCACCTGTTCTTCAAAACACAAAATCAAGTATAGGTGGTCTTTTTTTTAAATGGGGAAAATTCCCACAATTATTATTTTTTGCAGGTTTTAAATATTTCCTTCTCAAACACTTTATTTTGTGTTTTTTGATATATTTATAGTGAACTACTTTGTTACTTACTTACTCACTTACTTACTTACTTACTTACTTACTTACTTACTTACTTACTTACTTACCTACAGTTAAAAATAATGTAAGCTGTAATCATTTTTTTTAAAATTTGGTAACACTTGTTGTAAATGTTTGTCAATATTTGGGTTTTAAGACTTGCTGATATTTTTGTTAAAGTTTGTAAATATTTGTTGTCTAGGATTAAAACGAAAAGCTGATGAAGAGAAATTGATTCAGAAAGAACCTTCTACGCCAAAGTTTGTTAATATTTCAACCAAGGTACCTTCTCTCTCAATATCTTCGAACAGGGTGTCCCATATCAAACTGCATTAAACCCAAGCTTTAACACCAAAAACCGGACTAAATTTTTTTTTAAAACTGTATTTTTTAACGAAAAATTTGATTTTGGCCTTACACAATTTTTTTTTATTTTCAGCTCTGTTGTCCCAAAACTTCCAATGTAAAGTTAAAGCATGACCCAATATGATGCGGAATTGTAAATTTTCAGCTCTTTTGTCCCAAAACTTTCAATGTAAAGCTAATGCATGACCCAATATGATGCGGAATTGTAAATTTTCAGCTCTTTTGTCCCAAAACTTCCAATGTAAAGTTAAAGCATGACCCAATATGATGCGGAATTGTAAATTTGTATTTGTTCTTGTTGTCATTCTAATTATAATCATAATCATAATCATAATTATATACATATAATGTACATATAATAATATATATATATATAATTATAATTATTATTATTTAGTTAAAAGAACTACAATTGAAGATGAAAGTAGGAGAGCAGAGACAACTTAAGCCTATTCTCCCCAAACCAGGTCCATTCTTTAACCCTTTTTATTTTTAAATATTTTTAGTATTCATTGCTTTTAAAAAACTACTTTGACACTTGGGGGTTCCTTTAAGAAATCTGCACATTTTCTACTACTTATACTTCTTCTTAGTTTTTATTTGAGGGGTTGTTGGATTGATTAATCAATTGAATGCTTGATTATTTGATATGTTTGATTGGTTGATCGAGTGGTTATTTAATTGATTAATTGATTGTTTACTCTTTTTAGTTGTGTCTATTGCTGGTGTTCCCAAGATGCCGGTAATTATCTTAACTATTTTTATTTATTCAATTTATAAAATTTGTTTATTTATTTTCATGACAAAATGCTGATTATTTAATCAGGGATAAAAACATTAAAATAAAATTAACATGGTCCGCCCTGACATGGCCCTCATCTGAACATGTTTACTCAGTTTTTTTAGAGGTTTAGTCGCTGAATTAGGGGAAAACTTAAGTTTTGGGTATGAAGTATCAAAAACCTTTTTTATGTCTCATTTTTCAGTTTTTCCTCAAAGTTTCTAAATTACTCCAAATATATAAAATATTGTATAAAAGATTGCATTAAGTATGAAACACTCTGTGTAAATCAATGAAATGTTAAGTGTTGCGTTTTCATTGATATATTTTAGTAATTAATATTTTTATATTAAAGTTGTCGGGTACTGTTTCAATGGAGATGAGTAAAGCTGAATCCAAGGTAAACAATTAGATACATCATCAAGCTTAATCAAAGGGGGGGGGGGGGAAAGGTGGTTGTGTCACAACGTTATTGGGTGAATCGTTATTTCATCTAAAATTGGGTGAAACGTGATTGGGCGAACTGTTACCACACAACTTTAGACTTCAGAAGAGGGCGTATCACCACCAAAAATATCTTTTCCATTTTAAACCTTTCAACATACAAATGTATTGTTTTACCTGAGTTCTTGATATATTTGTTCATTTTATCTATTTTTAAGTGACACTCTCAACAAAGATGGCCATGCCTGATTTACAATGGTACCCTAAAAAACTTTGTCTGATCAAGTATGAACAATGCATTTATTTGTTTTTAAAAACTGTTTATTTTCTATTGTGGTTTATTTGCAAAATTTATTTGCTCATTTTTGCTTAAAGACTGGATAAATTATCAGAATTTGACACTTTTAAAATAAACAAAGTTTTTTCATCCATTTTTTATCAGATTAAGATTTCAAGGGTACACTTTAGTTCTTTAAGTCATTACATTTGAGGCTTCAGCACTTAAGTTTATAGAATGAAGTTTATTTTTTTATTTGAATTAGGTAGAATAACTTCATTTAACATGTTAAATTTTTAAATATTATGATTTTGTAGACGTTTATTCCCGTGGTTGGCCCAGACGGAAAAACTATGCTGATTGATGTTTTTAAAGCAAAGGTAAAATGAATATTTTAAAGATTATATTTTTATTAAAAAGAGTCATTTGGGGGAAAGTTTTCAGTTTCAAACACTCAACAGATTAAGAATATTTTTTTAATATTCTCAATTGCTATGTCGTAAAAACTAAAAACAATTATTTTTTTTATTCAGTTGAATCATTGATAATAATTTGAGAATGAATAATTCAGGATGGTATCTCTAGTGGGTCTATCAAGTTCCTTCCAAACAATCAACATCAGAGCAAACCGGTTTTCTCAGAATCGGTAAATAAACGATACAAAAAAAACATTGTAAAAATAGCAGGCCTCAAATGAGGGAATGAAAATAAGTTTTTATATTTTGAATGAGATTTTACAGTACTTTTTGTTAAAACTTTATGCTTTGTGGGTATCGTGTTAAAAAGATTACCAAATTTTGCAAATAAAATTTTCCTTTTTATTTCAACAACCAAATTTTAGATTTTGTCCCCTGTGATAGCTTCCACATCATCCCTTCTGACTGGTTCTCCATTATCCTCCACAGGCCAAACTATAACAGGACAAATTACAAACTCACCTACCCTCGCTCTCAGGATTGTCAGCTCAGCTAGCCATGTGGGTCAAACTCTCAATACAGTCAGCCATGCTGGTGAAACCCGAGTCGGACAGAGTGCGCGTATAAAAGTTGGGAAAGAATTGAAGCGATCTGAAATTTTTGCGCAACGACAATCTCTTCTAATAAGTAACCAAGTAGATCCTCTGGACACCACAGGTAAAAAACAGTTAAAATAAATCTGACAAATCAATGAGAAAGAGCCATGCTCAAACTTACAATGTCGATTAAACATGTATCTTTTTTCATTCTTTTGTGTAAATTTGTATTGGAAGATTGATGCATGATTTGATTGAATGCTGATATATAATAGACACTAATGATGTGATTGGTTAATGCATGAGTTGGGTGAATGATTGATTGACGAGTTGTTTGATTGATTGATTGATTGATTGATTGATTGATGAATGATTGGATTGAGTGATTAATAAATGACAGGATGAATTAATTAATAAAAGATCTAATTGATTGATTGATAAATGCTCTACTTTACGATTAGTAAAAGATTTGTCTCGATGATAAATGCATGACTTGCTTAATTGGTTGACGAAGGATCAAATTGATCGATTAACAAATGATTTGATTTAAAAAAAAAGAATGTTTAATTTATTGCTGGATAAACTATTGATTGATGGTTTATTGAACTAAGTTATTGATAAATGATCGGATGAATTCATTGATGAATTAGCTGATTAATTGATTAATGAATGATCTAGTTGATCAATTGGTGAAAGATTTGACTCAATAAAAAATACATGACTTGTTTGATTGCTTGACAAAGGATCAAATTTATCGATTAATAACTGATTTGATTTGATAAATGAATGTTTTCATTTGATGCTGGATGATTTATTGATTGATGAATTTTTTTACTAAGCTATTGATAAATTACAGAAAGAATTCATTGATGATTGAGCTGATTGATTGATTTATGAATGATCTAGTTGATCATTTGGTAAAAGATTTGAATCAATGATAAATGCATGGCTTGTTTGATTGCTTGAGGAAGGATAAAACTGATCGATTAAAAAATGTTTTCACTCATTTTTTAATGAATATTAATTGATTGATGAATAGAATGATTGCTGCATTTAGGAATGATATTAATAGGTGAATGGTTTATTTTTAAATAGGTGAAAGATTTTATTGATTGATTTACGTATAAATTGTTTAGATATGATGAACCCTGATGCAGTATCTTTAGAAAATACAAGGAAACAGTACGAAACTTAAAGTTCAGTAAAGTTTCTCCCAAAAAGATGTTTTAAAAAAAAATTTTATCAAAGAGATGGTAAACATTTTTAGCACTATCCTAAATCCTAAATCAAATGCTGCATTGATATTTAAAATAAATAAATTTTTCTTGCTTTTGCCCAAGTCATATCGTATCACCCACCATTGATAAAGTATTAAAAAAATCAGAAATCTGAAGAATCTCATGGTGAAAGTTACAAACACCGTAAAACATTTCATGGTGACAATTGCTTACGTTTTTGACTTCTTCCCAACACTTGGCCGCCTACCTAATTTCATTTCTTGTATTACACAACATCACATAGTTTAAAATAACCTTTAGATTTATTTGTATTGTAATGTAATAGTTGTATTATGAGAGATAAAGTTGCTTTAAATCTTCCTGTTGTTCTTACAAAGAGAACCAATAAGAAGATGGCCCAGGTCAAAACTAAACTAAAATTGTTAAGATACATGTTTAGTGCAGTTACCTACAAAGGATGAGGTTTCAAAAACGATTATACGAAATTTATACATGTCTCGTTGCTTATATTCATCATTCCCTGCAACATTAAACTTCTTGCCTTCTTTGCCAAATCATCATATAAGCCATTTAAAACCACCTTCAAGGCAGCAAACTTAATTTAAACTTGGGATCGTCATATTTAAAGAGTTTTAAGTCTCATTCTTTGCGATTAACCCTATTCATAACTTTGAATTATTTACATTTCGCTGGAGTGTCAAAAAAAATTAATGATCAAAAGTGATTTCTTGCAAAAGTTAGTTTCGCTAATTTTGTGAATTTTAGGACAATCCGTTCTTCAAAATCAGCATGATCGGATCAGATGTGACTGGAACTTGTAGAGTTTGTCAAGATTTTACACAAACCTTTAATCAAAGCTCGGTAAATATATTTGGAGTAATGGTCTAAATAAGGGTCTGGTAATGATGAAATTTAAAATAAAATTTAATTTTTGATAAATAAGTTTGAAATAAAAATTTTATCAAAAAGATTATTTATTTTTACAAAAAATATTTTGACATAAATTATAATAATGTTATGAGATAAAAATTATAATTATGATAAGAACTTAAAAGAGATAAAAATGACAATTATGATAAAAATTGTTATTAGATTGAGATAAAAATGATAATATTGATAAAAATTGTAATGAAATTAATATGATAATTATTATAAGAATGGTTATGAGATAAAAATAATAATGATGCCAGGAGATACAAATGATATTGAACCTATCCTACAAAGATAACCTTAAAGAACTAGGCTTACCCTCCCTAGAGGAGAGAAGAAAAAGAGGGGACATGATAAAAACCTGGAAAATACTGTACCATCATGATCATATTTTAGAAAACTTAATTCAGCCTCTACAGTGAGCACAAGGTTAAATTCATCTACATTTAACCGAAGATGAAGAGAGCAAACCTGATATAAAATAATTTTAGTTCAAGGTGATAAAGACTGGAACCAGGCAGTTAAGAGGTCTATGACCCTTTTTTATAAAAATGCAGCCATGGATCCGAAAGATTAAATGATGACCTGACCCGCCATTTCTTTCGTGCATGATACAGGACCTTTGCAAAGAAACTATCAACGTATCAATTTATAATTATTAATTATATAAAAAGAAAATTAGTTCATGAAAATTGCTTTGAGATAAAAATGATAATTATTATTAGAAGAATTGCTTTGAGATAAAAATGATAATTATTATTAGAAGAATTGCTTTGAGATAAAAATGATAATTATTATTAGAAGAATTGCTTTGAGATAAAAATGATTATTGTGATCAAAATGTTATGAGATAAAACTGATAATTATAATACAAAATAGTTATGATAAAAAAACTTACATTGATTACATTACAATTGATAATTGTTCTGGATACTTTAGTTACTTGAGAAACATTTTAAAGAAACTCATCAGCAGATGATCTACATTAAAAGGTAAAACTTTTGAACCTTGTTAATTACAATATTGGCAATGATGATGATAATTCTATTTCGAATTGTACAGTGTTTTTTTTACTAAATACTATTTTTTCCTCAAATTTATCTGTAAACTTGAAAGATTCACATTTGAGGCTATTTTCATCTTGGTATTTATGCTACATACAGTTAACATACAGTTAACAAATAATGACATGAAAAGAGATTTTGTTTTTTAGATTTGTTCTGTATTACGAGATCAGTTTTAAACAGAGTGCTAGGTCAAGAAAAAAATTCTTTCTTTGCTTCTACTGCGGAAAGGAGTTCACTACCAAGTAAGTTTATTCAGTCAGTCAGTCATGGAGAGAGAAAACTGATAAACCTATTTTCAGGTTCAATGTAAGACGACATCAAATGTTGTATTGTCCACACAAGCAAGAAATAGACCCACGTCTGCTTGGCTTGGGTCCTCAGGATTGTGCTAAGGCAGCTGAGCTGGAGTGGAAGAAGAAGGAGATAATTAAGACAGGAGGGAAGTGTATAGAGGTAGTGGATGACGAGGAGGAAGAGGAGGAGGTCGAGATACTCGAGGATGAGACCACGGTCAGGGTTAATGTGAACGAGGACAACGATGGGCTTGAGTTCTTGGTATGTATCACGATTATAGAAACTGTAATTTCAAGTAACCCTTCATGCACATTTGTCTGATTTATACAACGGTACCCTTGATACCTTTCTCTGATCAAAATATGGAAGATGTTGTTTTTCTAGGTTTAGAAGTGTTAATTTCTAATAATTCCTGTATGTTTTCCTCAGTTGAAATGTGCAAGTCACTTTTGTAGAGAACCCAAAAATGAAGAACCATTTATCAAAATTATTAACATAAAACATAAACATTGCATGGAGGTTTATTTGAATTTACTGACAAAAATTATATATTAAAACATCTAAGGTCTATGCAAAGATGGATTAGAAAATCAGAGATTGTGGAAAAGACTCAACCCCTTTAAAGATTCTTTGAACTAATTTATTGTGTAATAATAAAGTTTTAAAAAAACTCTTCACACTATTTATATTACAGGAGCTTGAAAATTTGGAGGAAAACGACCCTCTTGGACCTTGAAAAAATCCTCAAAATAAAGATGATGGACGAAATATGGCGGAAAAATTCATGAATAAGATGGCTCAAATGTACAAAAAAAACTTATTTAGTGGTCTTTGTTAATGAAATATGTTTGTGCTGGTTTTAACAAAATCCATTTTACTGCATATGCAATCATTTGTTGTGACTAGTTAGATTCACACAACTGTGGAATAGAAAGAAGAACTGCTGTTAGACTCAAGTCATGATCTTAAATTGACAAAGGAATGAACCGGCTCAATTACATTTGCTATAATACTTTTGCCATAATTACAAGTGCCATAAATACATTTGCCATAATTACACTTGCCATGAATACTTTTGCCATAAGGAACACTTATAATTATTTTAGCTATAATTTGCTAACTCTAACAAGGATATAATTCTTTTATAAAGCCTGGATATGACACTAATACTGATAGAAAGAGCTAGCTTGGTGAAGAATCAATGACAATACAATACTTTTCCAATAGAGCAGTAGTTTAACCTTATTGTTCTTTCATTTGTTAAGTGTAGTCACAAAAGTAATAATTGAAGTTGTATAATAAAAAGATAAATATTATATTGTGTTATTTTAGGTTACTAATAACTATAATAAATTTTTATGGCAATTGTATTTATGGCTAAACTATTGTGGAAAATGTTACTGAGCCCATGAACCACAGCTGTTACTGAGTGGTCATCAAGCTACTACTAGCTGGTTAAACTATTTTCTTTATGTCAAGATTATATACTAAATAGTGATTGTTTAAATATCGTCTTTCTATTCTACAGTTTAAGAGTCTCACTGAAGAAAACAATATCACGAAGATCTGAGTGCAATTATTTATGTTAGTGACTAAAAACATTTTTAATATTTTATTAAATTTTTTGTTTTAATGTCTAAGTGAACTTTTTCAGAAACGGCTAAAATCACCTTAAAACTGATTTTCGTTCAAAAATTATTTATCACGTAAAAGTGTGCGCGTTCCCAGAATAATAAATTTACATTTTTGTGATGTACTTATTTTCCTAATGTTTTTTTACATATTTAGATTTGTTTAGCTTGTTATTTAAGTTCTGTTATATTTCTAATGAACAGTACAGACAATAAATCTAATTAAACTTAAACCCCTGTTCACACTTAGAGGGACTTTCGTAATCTCAAGTGAACTTCCACTAAAAATGTTTAATGATGAGAAAAGCATCGTCGTTTATCTAGATTGAGAAAAAATGTTGTGGAAAACTACTTTCGGTTCATTTGAGACATATTAAAGTTTTTAAAGATCTGTAAATCCTAGGTTTGAGCGCAAATTCGACTTTCATAAACACCTACTTTGGGGGTGTATACGTTTTCAGAATTAGTTTTTTTTAATTATAAAATAACGACAATGAAAAATAAAGTAAAAATTTTACAGTAATCTAATTAGATGGTTAGGAACATATTTCTCTGAAGAAATTTGTCAATAAATCAAAGCTAAAATCGACTATTTCGTTTTCAATATTATAATAAATTTCTTATTTTCTTTGAATTTATTCGCAGATTTCTTCAAATTCTTCGAATGTCGTCCTTTCAATAATAATTCTAGAAAATCTGCAGAAAATCTTTGTGAATAATGAGAAAATAGAAACTTATAATTGAACAAAATTTCGATCTTATTTTCGATAATAAGATTAATTTTTATTTTCTCAACATGTTCCTATAACATGACGTCCGTAGTTTTATGTCGTCGTTATTTCATAATTTAATAAAAAATAATTCTGAAAACGTATCCACCCATAAAGTAGGAGTTTTGAACGTCGAATTTGAGCTCAAACTCGGGATTTACAGATCTTTAAAAAGTTTAATATGTCTCAAATGAATCCGAAAGAAGTTTTCCACAACACTGCATACTCAGTTTTACTATATTTAGAATATTTATAACTCATTACGTATCAACAAAATACAATTAGATTTCCTAGTTTGTCCTTATTATTTTGGAGATAACGTTTTTAATATTTATCTAGAAATATAAACAAAGCATAAAATTTAAGATAATACCTCAGTTAAAGGACTGAGGGAGGAAAATGTCTTGTATTTTCATAATTTTATCAAGGAAGAAACTTTTTTATTTAAACCAATTAAATACATTTTACAGTTCTATCTCTAGGTTGGGTCGAATCATATGATATGATATTATGATGCATAGACAAGTTTTGATATAATTTTCTCGTGGGAGGTCAAAGTAAATACTACTTTGTTAAACCTTAGGTCTAATTAAATGATGCATGGTGGGGTTTGAAAATGTTTATTGGTAAAAACTTGTTACAGAATATATGGGAGCGTTATTACTGTGTAGTTAGTTGCTGTGGGGGAATTTAGGGAGCTTCTCAACTGCAGGTGTAGATGAACCTCTAGAGTTTTCTGTAGCAGAACTATAGAAGGCTGCTTCTTTAGGGAGCTGCTTGAAGCTGCAGGTGTAGATGAACCTTTAGAACTTTCTGTAGCAGAACTATAGAAGGCTGCTTCTTTAGGGAGCTGCTTGAAGCTGCAGGTGTAGATACCTTTAGAACTTTCTGTAGCAGAACTGTAGAGTGTAGAAGGCTGCTTCTTTAGGGAGCTGCTTGAAGCTGCAGGTGTAGATGAACCTTTAGAACCTTTTTGTTGGTACAGAGTTGGTTTGGAACTCCGGAGCTGCTCAAGGATTGGTTACAACTGATGATATCATCTTTCCAAGATTTCAACGTTAGGTTTAAGGCGTAGCCTTAACCTTGAGCCAATACGTGAAAATACACAGTGTTCAAAGGATGTTCACAAAAAATACAAACATATAAATACATTTTAACTATTCATAAAAGCACAAATACCAATTCTTAAAGAATCGGTTTCATTCGTTTGTGAATTTTACAAAAAAAGGAGTTTTAGTTTATGTAAACACCCAACAGAGTTCCCATATACAGAGCTAATTGATTCCAACCATGATCTAAGATTCTTTGTTAAAAATATGTACTTTGAACTCCGTTACAACATAGTCATTGGGACCCCGTCATAGGAGGCACGGACTCGTGGATTATAGAAAAACATATAAGTCTATCTTGTATCACAAAAGCTGTCCTGGAGATACTAAATATTTGAACAACATCAATTTTATGTAATATATAATCTTGTTGTAGCCATCCAACTCCGACCTCCTTCTTCAAACAGGTATCCTTGAGAGAGTCCATGACATGGGACTGTTTGTGTGAGATCATCGAACCCTGGTCAACAGGAGGGTTTGTCTGTTTGCCCCCTCCCATAGCCTGGCCAGACTATAAATGCTAGACCACTGCTTGAAGAGGAGGGACCAACTCCCTTCTGCTCCTAGAAAGAGGGGGCAGGAGGATAAGGAGTGTATGCATGGAGCCAACCGACACTGAAATTGTGTTAAATCAAATTCCATTCTGCTTTGGAATGGAGAGTTCAGGAGGGTAAGGATGAGTTGCCAGAGTTTGGAGTCTGAGAGTCCAAAAGCCCAGAGTCACAGAGGTCCAGCAGAGGGACCTGACTCTAAAGGGGACCAGAGTCAAGTGCAGAGTGAAAAGAGACTTCAAATCTGGAGTCCCAGATCCAGTCATCAAATCCCTCCAGAGAGACTAGAATAAAGACCAGTCCTATGCTATCTAATCTCTCTCCTATAGTTTATTATTAGTTCATCATCATAAGTATTTGTGGTTTTCAATCTGGTTGTGACGATCGCAACCAATGAAAACTAAGGGGACATGTAGCCATACAACCCCCTCGCCCATCAAACACTTATTACTTTTCACCAGGAGTCTGAAGACGGAAGATTAACTCGATTTGTACGAGGCGGATAAAAGACGGAGAGTTCGTCAGAGTTATCCGTCTTTCCATGGTTCATTAGTATCATTATATTTGTTCATTTTTTACTTGTAATAACATTTTTTCCTATACTCTGTAGATTTACTCACATCAGTTAAAAGGCTTTAGATTTCTTTATATCATACCACTTTTTATGGTAACATTTTGATTTGAACACATTTCTGAGTATCTTTGTCAAATCTTAAGGTACAAATTATTTGTCAAGAATAAACGATAGACCGTGTAGATATTTAAGATATGTCAGTAAAATCTAAGGATTAGTGTTGTCTTAAGCATTGTTTTGTGTAGTTTTCATGTCTAGGTTTGAAAAATATTGAAATAAAGTAAAACAAGTGCAAGAATATTTGCTGAACATAAGAGAAAAAAATCTACGAACTGTTTATTTTGTGGGGGAAAAACTTTGTTTTGGAAATGTCTCAGAATGATGATTATATGCTGAAAAAAAAACAGTAACCGGGTAAATAAACATCCGTGTTAAAGCTAGTTTAAAAAACATGTTTCAAGTTTGTATTTGTTGCAAGCGAATGGCCAGCTTCCAAATATTGGTAAGTGAATACACTATGATTGGCTCAATGTTTTTAGAAGATAGCCCAACGACCCCTACAGAAAAAATGGTGTTAAGTTTTCCAATGCACAGATCTAATGTGTAAAATTCATGCAAAAAATTGCATTTCAAACATTTGATCAAAATTACGAACAGTGTGTCAGGATATAAAAATTTATTTCGCGAAATATTCAGAAAAGCCATTCTAAAATAATTATTCTGATAATGTTCGTGAACATTTTCGATAAACTTTTGCGAAATCCTAACCAATTTTTGTCAAAAAAAATCTTTGAAAAAATAATTCTCTGTATTAGGAAGACTTACATTGTAACCCATTTTTGTGCAAATTTTAGATTTAATTAGAAAAAAAACAAATTTTGTTTACATAATTTAGACTTATTTAATTTCGGTAGTTTTTTACAGAAATTTTCTTCCTCTTGTATTTTTTTGCGTAGATTTGCTGAGATCCTGGAAGAGCCAAGTTGAAGAATATCCAATGGGGTAAACGATAAATATAATATTTACTGCTAGGCCTGGGCAACAAACGATATTGAGAAGATTATAAATCCATTTGTTGACGGAAAACAGCAACACGCTAGACAAATCAGGATAATAGGCCAGTTAGGATTCTGGTGGGGGATGTTTATTTTCCCCGGACAATTCTTTCCCGATAGGCCGCACAAATACACACAACAGAGTAACCCCGTCTCAGAAATTCGATAACAAAATCTTTATTTCCTAAAAAATAACATAAATTATAGGTCATGGTACTTCTTATGAAAATATTTTGCTTAACTTTAATGATTTCACAATAACGAAAATATTTTAAGCTCCGTGGGAGGAGTACAAAGGGAATTGCGGGCTGAAAATTTGGTTTGGCTGTCTCCGAGAGGAGATTCAAGTTGAAGACGACATTTTGCAGAGGTCTTAAAATTAATGGTTAACACCATTATTTTAAAAACAATTATGAAAATATTATTTTAGATATAGTTCTGCCTCTTTGAAAGTATCTGATGACACTGTATACGTACTGAATGGGGCTGGGACTGGAAATGCAATAGGTTTCAAATATAAAATTACAATATTTCAGATTTAAAGAAACTGTACATTTTAAGAATACTCTTTCAGATTTCAGAAACGATCAATGGAATTAAGTCTTTGTCACAAACTCTGATTTTCTATTCCATATTTTTTTCCAACCCATTATATTAATGTCCATTAAGACCCGAGATATTTCAAACTATAAATTCTGTTAGTTAAAAAATCCAAGTTTGAAATATCAATGCAGTTTACATCTAAGGTTTCTAATATTAGGGTTTGTGGTAAAGACTGGATAAGTTTACATCTAAGGTTTCTAATATTTGGGTTTGTGGTAAAGACTGGATAAGTTTGAGCTGAAGTCGTCATTTAAGTTTTGTCCTTTGTGGGTAACAATGTGAACTTTAGTACAAAATCTGTAAGCGGTATAATTGTTATTTTGTAATTGTAATTGAAATGTCGCAGAAGGTTTTTTTTTTCGATGGAGTTTATTAATTTCAATCTGGTTAGGCGGGTCCAGTGATTTTTATTTGTATAATCTCATGCTTTGAAATTGAATAAAATTTATAAAAAGTGTACATTTTTGTTTGAATATTTAAATAATGGTTGTTTAAAAAAACTAAATAAGTGGACTTTTAAATGAAACTTTTGTAGGTTTTTCTAATTTAAAAAATGTAATTTTTGTAATCTGTTTGCTATTTTTTACTGTTCAGTCTACATTTTATTATTTTTGTAATGTTAAAAAAACAACTATTTTTGAAACTTTTAATTTTTTAGTCAAGTTTTCCTTAAACGGAGACTACATTGGTAAAATCCCTGGTTGGTATAACTGGCCAATGGAAATAGTTGTCGGACCTAGAAACCAGGTATTATTACTCTTTAATTTATTGCAAAGGTTTCCTAAATCAATTTGCATATCCTCAAAAGCGTATTCAGTGAGGGGGGGGGGAGAAAGTCTTCTCCCCCCTGGGATTATTGGACAAAGGTTAAAATAAGGTGTGATAGGTCAAAATTGGGCTTGTACAATTCCAAAAGAGAATATTTTTCCCTTAAAAAAAAAGTTAAAAATTGACGCTTGAGGTGGGGGNGGGGGGTTATATTGGCGGACGACTATCACTAATGATTGCATTCAGGAGACTACTCAGGACATCGGAATATTACTGAACTGTACAGAGTAATACATTATAATGCAGGTTACCCACAAAAATTTGGACTTAGAGACGACTGTACGGAACTTATTCAGACGTTTCCCTTACAGTCATAGATCCCTGCAACTGAAACTTTTTTCTTTGATAAAATATTAAGTAGATAATTTAATACTGAGCCTTAGGTAAAAAACCAAATATACCCTTCAGTTCATTAAATTCAATAAGCTAAGGTCTTTATGAAAGTCTGATTCTTTATGGGTAACCAGCTGCCAGTGTCTATAACCCTTGAATTTGGACTATTGGGCTATAGAAAGGACATTAAAAGAAGTTATAAAAGCAACTTAAAGGCCAGAATTTTTTTTTTTGGTTCACGCGACCTCCTCCCTCCCCCTCACAATCCAAATTTAAGATGAATCCAATTAAGGTTTTCTTATCTGCGTTTGGAGCAATGGGAGACAATAATTTGCTAAGGTTAGAGAAATATTTTTTAATTAATTGGTATACAGGGTTACCCACAATGAATGAGACTGTAAAGACGACTGGAAAGTCATAAGATATAACAATTTCTAGATTGAATTAAATCTTGTGCCTAGATGTTAGTCTTTCACGGGCTTATTTAATGCTTTGGCAAAGAGCAAAACCTGTTTACAATGGCAGGGAGTTATATTTATCAGGAAACAGACAGTATGAATTTCGCACAATCGTCTCTGAAGTTTCATCCTTTGTGGGTAACCATGTAATTAATGTGTATCCCATTTAATACATAATTTAGAAATGACTTTATGACCGTAGCTATATAGATGACTAATAACTATATCTAATGAAAATCTGTGTACTTAAAAAAAGATTGAAAGACATTTTAAAATGTATCATGTTTTTAAAACATTATAAAAATAAAAACAAATTTGAATTTCTAAACAATATTAGTTCTTAACAATCCCAGTAAACATAGTTGGGAACTTTTTTCCATGGAACCATCTGAGGACCTATTCCCCAGAATTTCCCTGATATTTCTCCGATGTTGAGTCCCAAATTTAAAGAATTATTGGGGATCAATTTCTCGTATTCTCGTTTACCCTTTTTTATGATAAATTCCTAGAGAAATTAATTTCGAGAATTTCATCTCCAATAAAACTGGAGATATTCTGGAGACAAAATTCTCCAAATCTTAGTTGCGAGAAAAAAAAAGAAAATAGGTTGCTCTCAAGAAAGGTAAAAATATTCCCATTGATTTTCTCGAGACTCGGCAGAACCACGGGAATGTTATTAACTTGGTTTTGAAAGTCTAGGTGGAGTGAGTTGACTTTTATAGATAAAGATTAGCTTCCAGGCCAAGCTGGGTTCCCAAGCTAGTAGTTACACAATATATGCTTGACTATATATATTTGTTGCACATAAATCTGCCTCCAACTCTATCCAGCGTAATGTCGTCTTCCTACCCTTCCCCTATGTTTTATACTGACCCGATCATCTTGCTCTCATCTCAAATCACTCGTTAATTACCCCAGACACACCTTATTAATTACATTAAACAATTTTTATACTAATCAATTATTATTACTAAATCAGTTACAAGGAATTCATCGAACAACAAGGCATCTGTGATTTGTATCAACAATATTATATTATAGGCCTGGACTTGTTTTATATAATTCCTCGGAAGAATATTTCCATGGATTCCATCAGAATGAAACTGGATTGGGAAGACCTTACGGAATTCATATTGTTGACAACAATGGTAAGTAATAAAACAATTCTTGTTTTAATTTTATAATAAATAGAAGGAAGCCAATAATTCTTAAATTTTAGCCTAAATATAGTGACAAAAGAAACCTTAACATTTATTCAAGAATTTATTGTTAAAACTGTGTTTAGGACCTAGTTCAAGAATATATTGTTAAAACTGTGTTTAGGACCTAATTCAAGAATTTATTGTCAAATCTGTGTTTAGGACCTAGTTCAAGAATACATTGTTAAAACTGTGTTTAGAACCTAATTCAAGAATATATTGTTAAAATGTGTTTAGGACCTAATTCAAGAATATATTTTTAAAACTGTGTTTAGGACCTAGTTCAAGAATTTATTGTTAAAACTGTGTTTAGGACCTAATTCAAGAATTTATTGTCAAATATGCACGTTTAGGACCTAGTTCAAGAATTTATTGTTAAAACTGTGTTTAGGACCTAGTTCAAGAATATATTGTTAAAACTGTGTTTTGCACCTATTTTAAGAATTTATTGTTAAAAATGTGTTTAGGACCTAGTTCAAGAATTTATTGTTAAAACTGTGTTTAGGACCTAGTTCAAGAATTTATTGTTAAAACTGTGTTTAGGACCTAGTTCAAGAATATATTGTTAAAACTGTGTTTAAGACCTAGTTCAAGAATATATTGTTAAAACTGTGTTTAGGACCTACTTCAAGAATATATTGTTAAAACTGTGTTTAGGACCTAGTTTAAGAATTTATTGTCAAATCTGTGTTTAGGATCTAGTTCAAGAATTGATTGTTAAAACTGTGTTTAGGATCTAGTTTAAGAATTTATTGTCAAATCTGTGTTTAGGACCTAGTTCAAGAATTGCTGTTTGTGATTGGATAAATAACATGACAAGGATTTTACAGGTACATTAGGTTATTTCACAATGAAAGGGACTGTACGTGTAATTAAAGTGACCCTCCAATCAAATATGACAATGCTCAATTTACAAACGTATCCTTGAAACTTTTACCTAATTAATAATGTGGAAGATATTGTCGTTTTCACAGGTTAAAAAGCGTTACAACTTTATTAGTTTTCTTACTCCTGTTGAACCAACAATTTATAGAGAAATTACAATAAATTGCACATGAAGGAACGCATGAAATTACGCACACAATTTATTCAAAGGGGAAAGCTGGAATATTTGAATTATAGAATTACAAGCCTAAAATTTACATTTATGAATTGCCTTTGAAAGATAGTTGTATATATAAAATAAACATATGGTTAACAGCTTGAAATGCTAATATTTTCAAAAATACTTCAATCCTTAACAATTTTTTTACTTTTTTCCAAGAAAAATGTTACAACTCTTAACAGGAAAAATTTTACTTTACTTTTCCCTATAGAAAACATAGTAAGGTTAAGTTTTAAGTTTCTGCTTTTAAAATTTTGAATTTAATGCGCTATATTTTAGCCAAAAACTTCGCAGAACGGTATTTTTTTTTTTTTATTGTCCCGTGGGACTATTCAGTAACATTCCGCTGTTGAGGGATGTTTTGTTTGCAAAATTGGACAAGGTTTATGATAAAAACGCTAATTTTGAGATTTTTAACAAACATTATTAACCGTTCATTTAAAAGAAAACGGAAAATAAAAAGAACAAAAACGGTTTTATGCAAAAATAACTTTAACTTTTAACACACGATAGAATTTTAAATTGTTCTCTTGGTTAAAATCTAAGGAAACGTCAGGCCTCTCTTCTTACAAAATAAGAACTTCAGTGACTATCTATCTATCTTAACCTAATCAGAGCTGAAAACTTTAGAATGGTGGATATCGAGATCAATGCGTAATCTCTTCTTTTTCTTTATCTTAAGATTAAATATTGCTTGATCTCCTTTTGTTATTTATCTCCAGATTAATTAACAGATCGGGATTAAGGATATTCCATTCTAAAGTTTTCAGCTCTGCAGTAGTGTTTGTATGAGTTCTCACATTAATTCAGATCATATTTTGTAGATAGATTGGGACTCAGGAATTCAGATCATATGTTGTAGGTAGATTGGGACTCAGGAATTCAGATCATATGTTGTAGGTAGATTGGGACTCAGGAATGGTGTCAACTCTTCCAGAACCAATAATTTATACACCTTATCCATTCAGTTTAGTGGTTGATAAAGGTTAGTTGGATTTGCAAAATTTAAAAAAAAATTAAAACTAAAAGATCATCTTTGAGAAGGATCTTTTTTTGAAAAAAACGTGATAGTTCTTATTTCTTAATTCGTTGTTCCGTTTACCAAGCAAGGTCGTTTTTTATTGCTAACGACCCGTAACGACGTTATGTACTTCATTTTCAACGATCATTAACAACGTATCTTCGTTGATGATCATCAACAAAAAACTTCTTCTATTTCAAAAAATTATAAATTAAATGTTAATTATTTCAGAGAAAGTGCTGATAGCGAGCACGGTCTGTTGTGAGGAGTTTCATGAACCTCTTAACAAGGTGAAATAGTCTTTGGTTCAAAATATACAGTATTGGAATAGGAAGACGATATTTCAGCAACATTAAAGTATTTAATGCTATCATGTTATATTATCTTATTGATTACAATATTGTTTAAGCTGTTTGAGCTGAAAACTTTATAATGGGATATCCTTAATCCCGATCGGATAACTAATCTGGAGATTAATAACAAGAGGAGAACAAGCATTAATCCTAAGATTGAGAAAAAGGGCGGATCAAGTATTAATCCCGATACCCACCATTCAAAAGTTCCCAGCTCTGGATTGGTATTGATTACAATATTGTTTAAGATATCCTCAATGGTCTAGATGGAGTAATTGGTTCAATATTGTTTAAGATATATGAATGGTCTGGATGGGTATTGATTACAATATTGCTTAAGATATCTCTTAATGGTCTGGATGGGGTAATGATTCAATATTGTTTAAGATATAGTTATTTGGTCTGGATGGGTATTGATTACAATATTATCAAACACATCTCTTTATAGTCTGAATGGGGTATTAATTACAATATTGTTTAAGATATCTCTTTATGGTCTGGATGGGGATCAAAACTTTGTTTAAGATATCTCTTTATATTCTGAATGGGGTATTGATTACAATATTGTTTAAGATATCTCTTAATGGACTGGATGGGGTATTGATTACAATAATGTTTAAGATATCTCTTTATGATCTGGATGGGGATCAAAACTTTGTTTAAGATATTTCTTTATGGTCTGGATGGGATCAAAACTTTTTTTAAGATATCTCTTTATGGTCTGGATGGGGTATTGATAAAAGATTTGTTTAAGATATCTCTTTATAGTCTGGATGGGGTATTGATTACAATATTTTTTAAGAAATCTCTTTATGATCTGGATGGGTATTGATTACAATATAGTTTTAGATATCTCTATATGGTCTGGATGGGGTATTGATTACAATATTGTTTAAGATTGCTCTTTATGGTCTGGATGGGGTATTGATTATATTATTGTTTAAGATATCCCTTTATGGTCTGGATGGGGTATTGATTACATTACTGTTTAAGATATCTCTTTATGGTCTGGATGGGGTATTGATTGCTGAAGTTCAAATACTGCCTACAGGAGAGTCTTTTATTGATCCTCATACCGTAAGATGAATTCAGAATATCATATCATTAATTATTGACAGTTATTTCTTGATTTTACCTGAAGCCAGAACTTTTGGTTGAGATCATAGAGAATAGAATATATAGAGAGGAATTAAAAGAATCTCTCGGTATGAATTTTTTCAGTCCCTTTCAGCCTGAAAGGGAGTTCAAAGTGTACAAATCATGTAAATGTTCACAAATTTTATGCAGTAGAGTTCATTAATACAGTATGTTCCCTAGACTATTCATTTCAATTTCGAATTTTTTAAACGGTTAAATAAACTTTATAATGAATTAGTTGAATAAAAACATCATTTGATTTTTAGTTATATTGGAAAATCATCGTTTGTAAAGTGGAAGGAATAGAGTCTATGTGAAATGATCATTGGTCAATTATGAAACCAGCCTATTTCATAATTTGGTTTTCTTTTAACAATAATTTTAGATTTTCTATATAATGATATTCCAGGGCCCAACAGGTTATATAGCATAAATATGTGAAGTACACCTGCAGTATGGAAACAGTACAACAAAATGGCCGTTTTACACTTTTTTCCATTAAATTCCTCTCTATATATTCTATTCTCTATGGTTGAGATAGTGCTAAGCTATACAAAATTTAAATCTGATAAAACCTAGCCCTGATCAAGGAATAGAATAAATGTTTTACATGAAAGGACTAACAGTAACCTTCAAAACTAAGATAAGAAAAAGAAAAAGAAAAATTTACATTTTTGAATAATATTGTTAACACAAATTCGAAATATAAGGAAGACAATTTTACCGACTCAAATGCCGTAGACTTTTCTCCAGATGTGTGTATCTATTTCCGGCCATGAAGCACCCACATGTCCCCCTCGCTTCTTCGTCCCCTCCTCACCCCTCTAACTACACATCCCAGCCCTCAGTCAGGTTAGGAGAGTTGAGCTAGTAACAGCTCCAACACAGGGAGCCTCTTGACTCCTTCATGATGATGACGCAGATACTCAGCTAGCAGCAGGCGTGCTTATACCCGAGGGTTCCCAGTTCATCATGCATTCCAGAGACAACATAATCGCTCATAGCCAGCATGACAAGCCGCGATCTCTTCCTACTGATTTTGATAAGCCCTGTTGTCCCAGTTCCTGCTGATCTGCTCCACCAACATGAAGCTCTACAACACTCCCATGAAGTACCATCAAATATTCATCATTAATTCCTTTGTTAATTTCTAAATCAACCAATTTTAACTCCGTCTTATATGCAAATATTTCAAAACTTTCGTTTTTAAATAAATGTTAGAAATATCCATTTTAGATCTCTTCATTTTACTATAGTGACTTTTAAAGTCAACAAATATATTTTACATTTTTCAGAAGCAACCTGGCCTAACCAATTTTTTAACGACTCACATTTTAAAGGCTTGAATATTTCTCATAATTTACACCTTTTTCCAAAATCAAAAAAGCTTTAGTTTTGTCCAAAAATGTCAATGTCTAGAATTCAAAAGTTTCCACTTTTAACAGATTTTTTGTTCAAGAAAACAGATTATACGTATTAATGATTTCTCAAGTTATTAATACTTTAAATGTTCCGAGCATAGGTCATAAAATATTTTATTTTACTTTAATGAATTTCTAGTAAGTGACTGTTTACTGCATGTTTGTCGGGCACTAACATGAATCCTCTTCATCTTTTTATTACTTTATAGAGTCATAAAATATAATGTTTATATTCCTTTGTAATGATGTGACTACTTTCTTCACTTCAGGTTTATCAGAATATTTAATCCTTAAAGGAATTTTAGACGTGATTTCAAGTAGAGTTTCCAGTAAAATCTACTTTTGGTGGAAACCCCAATTTCAAGTTATGAGTGGCATATACAATTCACAGTGGTACTTTTTAAACCTTTCTTTTATTAAGGCTGCTTATCCATCATCTTATCAATTGTTGTTTCTGTATGAAAGGACTTGAGCAAATCTTTTAAAGCAAGAAAAACGACAAGTAATTTTTTATCAGATAAAGGTTTAAAGAGTATCTTTCTGAATCACTTGAAATTAAAATTAACTATAAAATTTTAATCCATTAATATTGAAGGTAGCTGTTGATCCGGCTGGAAATTATTTGGTAGTTGATGGCGTTTTAAACAAGGTAACAAAGAAAATTCTAAACATTTTTACTTTCATAAAATACGCCGCCCCCCCCCCTCTTTTTTCCAACATAAAATTCGGCATATGATACATATGAAACAAAAACAGTGCTAATGAAAAATGTTTTAACTTTTTGCTGCACTTTACACTTAGTATAAGTTGTAAAAACAAAATGATAATATTAACCATTAATAGTAAAAGAGAAGCGTTTTATTTATAATTTTTAATTGGTTATACTAATTTCTTATCACATATTTACAGATTTCATCAAATATTGTTAGAGCAATGTATTCCACGAAAATCTGAATAAAAATTGTTATGAATCTAAAGTTTTACTGAAATATGAAAAGTTATTTATTTTCAAGGATAATTGAGTTTTTTTTTACAACCCGTTTCTATAATCACAATATTCGTTCACCACAATATTTTTTTACATTTTTTGCACTTACAAAAAAGGTTAAAAATCCGTTTGGATTTATAAATAATTGTAAAAACATTTATCATTGTTAGAAATGGGCATCTTTTATGTGAACGATCGATGGTGTGGTTCAGAAAAACAATGATCGAACGAATTGGATCGATCAAAGAAATTTAAAAAGCGATAATTCTTTAAAAAAGAACTAAAACGAACGATTTAAAACTTTTATTTATTGTACACATTTTATGGATCTCTCAGACCGTTAGGAAACAATTTCTAAATCGTTTGTTCGAACAAAATAGAAAAAGCAATAGTTTTTTTATTGAAAAAAAGTTTTTTTTCAACCCGCGTTTTGTTTTGCTAAACAAAGGATTTTTTCAAGCAAACTTGACACGATCCAATTTAAAAAAAAAAATTTCATTGAACGAACGAATACGATTTTACTGAAAGAAAATTCTCACTAAAGGAACGGTTTAACTGCACGATCTTTCAGCTAGAAAACAAACGTAAAAAATTAATGATAATTCTGATAACGGTTTAAATGAAAAAAGTTCAAATCCTAGGTCATATTCTCTTATCAACTCGTCTGGTAAAAATGTAAAGTTAAATAAAGTTTTTTTGCAATGTTTTCCATTTTTCCTTAAAAAGAGTAAATTCGGAATTTGTATTCTGTGCTCTCCACTCAACTACATCTTTAATGAAAACAACATTCCACAAACCTTTTTCAAATATCATTATTTAAGACTATGTTGTTTAACCCAGAGCTTGAATACCTTGGATTGGTTCCTGGGATTGTATCTCCCAACTCCATTACTTTTTACAAGGACGAGGTAATTTGAAAGACTCTGCTTGTACAGGGTTACTCACAAAGCATTAGGCTTGAGAGACTATTGAAAGGAAATAACTGTGTATTTATGATTCAAATGTAAACATGTTTCTTTTTTTGATAAATTATTTAATCTCCTGTTCAACGAAATAACCAACCTTAAATTCCCTACTTTTTTATTTCCAGGGAGGATAATTACTTATCCTCCCTCTTTACAGGGAGGATAATTACTTATCCTCCCTCTTTACAGGGAGGATAAGTAATTATCCTCCCTGTGATCCATACAGATTTATCAAATAAATAGTTCTCTAATTAAAAAGGTCTTGGAGGCCCTCGGCTAAGTGGTTTTCCCCTCAATTTAATTATCCTCCCTTAATCTCCCGGTTAAGTAGTAATTAATAGTTATAATAAGCTATTAAAAAGAATATATTCAAGAGGGAAGACTTGATTAACATCTCATTTTTTTGGGTAACCCTGTATGTTGATATATGACGGACTAGAAGTTTACTTTGCACAATCTTGCTGTTGATTTGCAGAGTTCATCTAGTTGATCCCAAATTCATAGATATTTTGACGGATTTTGACAACAAACTCATCTGAGATGGAATTTAAAGAATTTGAGCCGCGGTTTAAATCTGCCAAAACCCGGTTTAAATTAAGCGCCGGCTTAAATCTTGAAACATTTGATACAATTTTAATTGGAACCAACCATATTTAATCCGCGGCTTAAATTTAAACCGCCGCTCAAATTCTTTAAATTCGGCCACTGGTGTGTCTTTGATCTGGTTTCTGGTTTTTTTTTTAACAGACTGAATTAATATTTTGGATTGAAGTTTAATTTATTGCCTTTGCTTTTCTTCTAAAATCCAGCATCTATAAAACTGGGCGCCATTCAAGACTGAATATGGTATAGTTATTTTTTACCATTTACTTCAGAGTTTAGTTGTAGTTTACCCTTTACTCACAATAAAGCTTTGCTTCGACTTCTCTCACCATAGCTCCAACAACCTTGAAAGGACATTCCTTCCCATCATTAGTCCCGTCGAAATCAACGCTTAGTATATTTAACCAAACGACCCGACCTTCAAAACCATCTTTAACGTCAACGGTTTATTTTATAGTTTTATTATTAATTAATCACTTTTACCTTCCTAATATTAAAAAATAAGCAAGCGTTCATATATATAAAGGATAATCACAACTTTATTTTTTTTCAGATGTTCACACTGGTGATGGAAAACTCTGAAAATCCAGAATATTTTGTCAAAGTTTACAAGTATGGTTATTAATAAAAGGACGTATAACTTGATTTTTTGATATGGATAAAAAAGGGATTATTGACAAGATATGTTAAGATTCATCCCTGTGAGGATGGGTATTAAAAAACTTGGATTAAAAGACATGTCATATTCACGACGGTACCATTAAAAACCGTTGTCTGATCTGTAATGTGGAAGATATTGCCGTTTTTCTCGCTAGAAAGTGTTTATTTTTCAAAATTTCCTCTTATTGATTCTATTGCAAGAAATTAGCGGTTCAGTTTTATAGAGAAACCGCGACTGAAAATAATCATTTTGTCAAAAAGAACAAAGAAATTTTACAACTTTTACTGAGATAAAGACCTATCCAAAGTCCAGACAATTTTATATCAATTCCAAAAGAAAGCCAGCTGTCTCCTCATTCCAGTACGGTTGGGATCTTAATTGGCAATTTTTTATACGCGTCGGCAAGGTTTCTGTGGTGAAAAAAATTGTATGTTTTTTTCACCTCTCGTTCTGGTAAAGATAAATTCAAAAATGGGATACACACCCAAAATATATCAGAAAACGTTAAAATTATATGTTTTGAAAATAAATAAAATATCGACCTCCCTGATTGTGAAAATCCGCGAATTATTTTTGTTTTGTTTTACGATGTACACAAAGAGAACATATGTTCACAATTAATTTAGAAGATGGGCGCGAAGCGCCCTCTAAGGCTAGAAAGAAGGGCGCGAAGCGCCTTGAATTTCTAGTCTTATATCTTGGAACTAGGAATCAAATTAACTTTTTAAATGATATCAGTATATTATATATTTATATGGTAAAATAGATACTAATTCACATACTAATTACTAATATACTGTCCTTATTCCTCTTCAATCTGAAAAATAGTTCGATCAAGATTAAAATCAATATTTCTTAAATATATCAACATGCTTGCATGCATACAGGGTTACCCACAAAGTGTGAGAATATAAAAACGACCCAAAACGCTTAAATATGATGATTGGAAGCTTGATTTTTGTTTTTTTGCATTCAATTGAGTATTTTGGCGGGGTAAGCACAGAAATCAGCCAGGTTTAGCCTTCAAGAAACCCTGCAAATGCAAGAAAAAACGGACTAAGCAAATTTTGTACAATCGTCTCTGAAGTCTTTTCCTTTGTGGGTAACCCTGTAGATCAAAGAAAAGTACTAATTCTATATTATTTCTCTTGGGACTTGGTAAACCCTAAAAAGGCCGTTGTTTTGCCATAGCACTCTCATTTTGGACACTATCACCTTGAAATGCATTTAAGGCAGTGTAAATAAAAAATGTCAGCAAAAGTATTAAAGCATTATGGTATATACTATACAGATAAAAAGGCAGGTCGGTGTAAAAAAATTAAAAAACACATATTTATTTGTTATTTAAGCTACAGATCTAGAAGTTACAATCGAAATTACATTTTGAAAAGCCTTTGAAAAATGGATATAGAAAGTGTAACATATTTGTATGTAAAAATTGGGTTGCATTTTGAAGACTAGGGGTAAATAAATGAACAAATTTAAATTTATTTTTCACCAAAAAATAAAAGTAAAAAATATATTTCTAGCAAAAGATTTTTAAAGGGACTGTTAGCGTTATTTCAAGTGACCCTCAATGTTTGAGTTGCATGTTTTAAAATAAATGTATCATTGTTTTGCTGTAATTTGGTTTCAGACATAAATATTATTTTTCAGAAAAATAGTATTTTTCCTAAAAATGATTGAAAAATAAAATACTTACTTTTCTTGAAAGAAATACACAAACTGGTCTTGATTCTCCTCAGTATTTATTCAAACTATGAATCTAAATATTGAATTTATTCATCATTATTATTTTTATTACTTGTCTCAAAGTCTAATTTTATAAACCTTATATCTTTATCTTTATATCCTATAACAAATATTAACATTTTGAACTTGATATAAAAATGTTTGAGATTCTATTTAATCTAGCTTGGTTTATAATTTAAAGAAATATGGAAAAGTTTTTGAAAACATTTTTTGTTTAATCTTTTAAATGTTAAGACACAGTTGAATGATATTCATTTAAAGGGGTTTAAGTCGCATTCTTTGCTTCCTATGTTAACAAGTTAACAAATATAAGAAATATAGAGAATGATCTTGATTGCTTAATCTTAATATTAACTAGGAGAAATTATGAGGTAATTTTTGCCACCAAACTATCCTAATATCATTCCTGTATCTATGCAACCATGATGGTCTAAACCTTTGATATTATAAACTATTTTTTTTAAATATCAAAGGTTTACAACTTTGTGTTGCAAAGATATAAAGATAAGAAATCGGAGTTTATGGCAAGCACTCCTATATTTCAGAAATATTTGTCTAGGTCCCTTGATACTAGTTATTACTTAAGGTTACGAAAACTATGGTATATCAAAGATGTGGAAAACTTGATCCTGGTGACAAAAGTTTTAAACTCTGATGAAATAAAAAATGATCTCTCTAATGCTCATTTTTAAAACTTTGATTATATACATTTTAAAAAAGCGTTTGTTTCTGGCTTAAGTTTAAAAGGATTACTTGAAGCAATACTGGTCGAGTTTTGCTTGCACATCTTGGTTCGCAGTGACAAGGTTGCAAAGATATAGAGAATAGAAAATTTGAGTTAACGGGAAAGACTCAATTCCTTTGCTTTAACAATTTCTTTGTAGAAGAATTAGACATTTTCGATACAATAATTTAACGCATAGTTTTCAATCTTATTTATTGTCTTGCCTTTATTATCTTTCTTATCGATAAAATGAATGGTGTCAATTAAATCTTTTGATCCACATTTTATGCAAGTGCATAATTCCATCTAACTTTTTTCCAGTTGGTAGGGGAGGGGGGGGGGGGGTATTTTCAACTCCCACACTTATATCTTAAAAAACGGCTTGCTCAAGAACTTCAATTTTCCAACCTTATAATTGAAAATTAATTTTTGTTTAGCATAGCTTAGTTCATAAAGGTAGATACGGAATTCGGTAATAAAAGAAATTGTTGAAAAAGTGAGGGTTATTTATGACATGATTATATCTTTAATAATCAATTTGTTTACATTATTCCTTTTTGAAAATTTAAAACGTTGAAACAAATATTGACAAGTAAAATTATTTGCAGATGATAAGATAAGAATTTAATAAAGATCTAAAATACATATAGTTGTTAAATGATGCATTTAATGATTTAGCAAAGAAATATACAAGTTTATTCCATTTTGAGAGAATTAATATCCCCTGTATTTTCAAATTACATGTCTAAGATTTTCACTCATAAAGTCATTGAGTTGATTAAAGGCCCTCAGATAGTTTTTTTTTCGGCTGCCTTCCTTGACCTGTATTAAAACCTCAGAATCCGGGAAGATAATTGATGAATCTAACATCTACCTTGCCAGTTCAACTAACACTGACAAATTCTGGAAATTTTACTACATTTTGCGGATTTAGATTTTTTTTTCGATGTTTTTTGGTTTAAAAAAGAATAAAATTATATAATTGACTTGTGTATAATTTGGGAAATTTTCGGGATTTTTACTTAATTTGTAATGTTTTCGGTTAAAATTCAAGCCTTTAAATCCCTCTGACCTCATTTCGGTCAGGATTTAAAGGCTTGAATTTTATTCTCAGACAAACTAAATTAAATAAAAATCCCGGTAAAAATATAATGTCCCGTATTATAAGTTTATAACACAAGGCAGTTGCATATATAGATATTACAGTTGCAAGGAAATAAAACCTAATTCTTTTGGGTTAAATTAAATAGATTGTCACCGCCAGCTATTGCTCTTTTTCTGTAGAAGGGATGGGGTTAAAAATTATTAAAGACTATGGGTGAAAATATGAGTTTGTTGCAAGAACTCAATTCCTTTCGTTACCTTCAATTCATTGTATGTCCTGTCTAACCCTGAGAGCATAGCTTTCATCAAAGCATCAATCTTAAAATAAGATAGTTACATGATTACAAGCGGAAAGTGATGTATTTATTTTCCCATTGTGCCTTAGAGGATGATGTGGGTGTAATACCTATCTACCTGCCGGGCTATATAGCAGGCAGATTGATTCATAAGCTGCATAATCCGAACCAGTTAACAGGATGCTTTTCTAGTCTTTATAAGTTTACCGTACCAGCTCGTCCAGTGTATACCCAGTATGTGGTTGACCAAACACGTTTTAAGCAACAGAATTAGGCGGGATAAACTCTAGTTGCTACACTGTATACACTATACAAATACCACACAAATTATTCTCGTTTTTTGTAAAAATTTTGGAATCGTCTCTAAATTTCTTGATATTTCTTCAACAGCCATAAGACATGTTGTAGCAAACAAAACCCTAGTGAACTGCCTGACTGCTTAGATACAGCCTGAACAAGTCTAATGATCAGATGAAATCAGATGAAATCAGATGAAATCAGATGAAATCAGATGAAATCAGATGAAATCAGATGAAATCAGATGAAATCAGATGAAATCAGATGAAATCAGATGAAATCAGATGAAATCAGATGAAATCAGATGAAATCAGATGAAATCAGATGAAATCAGATGATAAAAAATTTATAAAAGAAAATAGCAAACCTGACTTTTATCAGATTTCATGAGTTCCATAATACCTTCACCAACACTAGGCAACTCTAAAAAACGGTAAAAAATCTGATAAGTCAAAATATTTAAATCAGCGAAACAGGACAGTTGGGAGAAGACTTGAAGGTCGTCTTTAAACTTTGAAATAATTTGCGGCATTTCAATTTTCATTTACCATTCTGGAAACAATTATTAAACGATTCACCAAGTTCTAGCATTTCCAAAATGTGGTCTGCATTTTTTTGTACTTTAAATATTACCGCGGGGATTGTATCATAATAATAATTTCTTACAATTAGAGAAAGATATCAATTCATTAAACATAACCAAAATTGTCAATATACGTGAAAGAAATTCTCCATATCTGAAGAAATTTTTAAAGTAAAAAAGCAGACTACATTTTTGAAATACCAGGCCTAGTCCCTTCTTTTAATTCTTTTGCAAGAATTTTACTTTAATATTGGTTGACATTTAAATGCCGCAAATCATATATTTTTTTAGACAATCTTCAAGTCGTCTCTCTGCACTGTCATGTTTCAAGGGACATCTTGTTTAATTATTTGCAGTAACGCAAGGAGTATGAAATAAAACGGAGATACAACTGACGCGACCCGCCCTACCAAATGATTATACATGCTTTGCAGCCGGTTCTCCATTTGATTAAGAAATATTTGTCTACCTCTTTTGAATATTTCTTAAACAAATGGAGTATCCGTCTGCAAAGAAATTATGGTAGGGCGCGCGTCAGTTGTATCTCCCTCCTATTTCATACTCCTTGATCTAACTGCTGAACGGATCGGGGCAAAATTTTTTGTGGGACCTAACGTGATCCTTGGAGGCTTAACGGTTTGGCCCAAACAAAAGAACTATTTAAATTTTTTTTAGAAATTCACTGACAAAAAGAGGAAGATGGCGAAATCTTAAACTGTTAGATGAAAAGTACGGGGGGGGGGGTAAAATACAAAGAGTCCTAAAAAATTGTTTATTAAATAGAGTTACCTTGATGTGTAATCTTCTTGTATGGTACTCTGGTGGACTGCAAATTCATTTTATTAATTGGCATCAAAGGATCAAAATAAAAAACAAAATACATAAACAATATCGGCTTTAACCATGGCTTAAAATTGATTATCACAATGTGTTCAATGTGTTTTTTTTAAAATTTAAAATGAAAATCTAAATTTATTACCGCTGGAGTTGTTTTAACAGCTGCAGCGTCTGAATATGCTGTTGTTATATCAGCTCTTGTTGGATTATTGGTCTCCCTATAAGAAGCGGCTGCTTTATTAGAAGGCTCAACTGAAGGAGAAGCTTCATATGGAACTGGTTCTGGGTGAAGAGTTACATCCTGGTAAGGAGCTGCCTCATTTTTAGCTGGAACTGGTTCAGTAGCAGGGGCTGGATCTTTGTAAGGAGCTTCATCATGGGGCAAGGGAGAAGCTTCATATGGAGCTGATTCCGGGCGAGGACTTGCATCCATGTGAGGAGCTGTCTCATTTTTAACTGGAGCTGATTCTGAAGCAGGAGCTTCTTTATAGGGTTTGGGAGAAGCTTCATAGGGAACTGATTCTGAGCTAGGAGCTTCCTTGTAAGGAGCTGCTTCTGAATTAGGAGATCTTTCCTTGTAAGGAGCTTCATCATGGGCTGGGGAAAGAGCTTTATACGGAGCAGGCTCAGGGTTGGTAGCTGTTTCCTTATATGGAGCGGTAGCTTCTTTTGGAGCTGGCTTTGGTTCAGGAGCTTTGTCCTTGTAAGGAGCTGCTGCGTTACCAGAAGCTTCATGTGAAGCTGGCTTTGAGGAGGGTGCTGCATTTCTATTAGCATTATCATCATGCGCTTGAGATTTTACTTCATTATGAGCTGGCAATGGAGCTGTATTCTTGGAAGGTGGTGAAATGGAATCTTTGTGTGGTCTATTTGGATTTGGGTTGTCAGGGCTACCTGGAACTGTATGCTGCTCATAAGCTGGATCAGGGTGCTGCTCCTGGGTAGGAGCTCCTGTACCTTTCTTCAGTATTCCATCAACCCCTTTTACAACTTTTGTGACGCTCTAGCAATCTCACAGGGAATCAAGAAACGAATTAAAAATGTGTACAGAGAATCAAGAAATGATTTTGTAATGTATACAGAGAATCAAGAAATGATTTTGTAATGTATACAGAGAATCAAGAAATGATTTTGTAATGTATACATGGAATCAAGAAATGATTTTGTAATGTATACAGGGAATTAAGAAATGATTTTGTAATGTGTACAGGGAATCAAGAAATGATTTTGTAATGTATACAAAATAATTAACACTTACTGGGCATACTGCTAAATGACTATGTTAAAGGTAATATTATAATTATCATTTAAAATGAGGTGTCTAAAAATTATTTGTTGGTTAAAAATCACACACTCCATTTGATAAAGATTTTCCGTAAAACACATCATTATTTTTCAGCATTTATTAATTGTAACTGATGGATTTTCAAGATTCTTTTTGATATTTTGGTTTAAGCAACGTTTTCATTGAATTCTGCTAATTTAATACTTACGCCCCCGGGGGTCGAATTTAATAAATTCGATCTACGTCGCTGTTCTAACTGCCGGTTCAAATTTGAACCACCGATTCAAAGTTTAAGATTAAGTGCAGATTTGAATCGGCATTCTTCGAACCGGCAGCAGTGGTTAGGCATTTCAGATTTTTTGAATTAGGTCCCGGTGCCCTGCATGGAGCGGACTTTTGCATGGGGCGGACTCGACCCCTAAAGTTTTAACCATTTTAACACAATGTTAGACATAAAAAAAACAATTTTAAAACAACAAAAAATTATGTGTCGACATATATTAAATATACATTTAGTTCTTGTATGTATTTCAAAGGGGGTAGAGACAAAAAATGTTATTTTCTCTTGAATGTCGTCTCTCTTTCAAATCGTCAACAATTAATATTTACTCGAGACATAGAACAATTTTAGTGTGTTTTTCAAATCAAAATACATTAACAAAAATTGATTTTTTGAAGCTTTTTCAAATTTCAGAGTTACATGCTGTATGAAGGATGGTAGAAATATAAAATTGAAATTGAACGCAATCGTAATTTTATTGCTATAAGCGAGGACGACTGTAAAACAATAAAGTTTTTAAAAAGAAAAGTTGATGAATTCCTGAAGAAACAAAAGCAAAATGACAAATGAAATGTTGGAGTAGTGCCACATGCTTAAAGTCCGTGAACCCCTGCTGGAGTTTGAATACTGAGTTCATTATTGTAATCTGATATAGATGAATAGACCTTTGACCATGATAGTTTATAACAATATAAACTATTGTTGACAATTTCTCAAAAACATGGACAACACAAATCATCAAATTTTAAATGGTTCCAGTTTTTCCAATGAGATAAACATAGTATTATTACGCATTTATAGACATTCCTTTTTTTCCAAATCACTAGCTTAGGGTTTCCCAGCTTTGCTTATGGCAAGGAGTCATTAACATGGAACGATCGAAAAATTACAGAACGATTAACGCTTGGAATAAGGTGAAAATTAACTAACGGTATTATGTTAAAAATACGTTCTGGAACGAGTTCTAAATAATTAAATAATAGGAACGGTATGAATTATCGAGTAAAAAGAAACTAAGCTTTTGCCGCAAACTCGATGAATTAAACCTTTGATTTTTAAAACTTTGATTTGTTAGATCGAAGAGTCAATCTCAAGACATCAAAGGTTTGCACTATCAGGTTGCAAAATTTGAGTTTGAAATATAAAAACTCATGGTTTTTTTATTTGCCTATTGTCCCCCCCCCCCACACATTCTGAACCCCGTGCACTTCACTCTCCCAATCCTTATCCTTGACTAACCTCCGGTCATAGTTTATACAAAATCATTGGTTTGGTTTGTAGCTCCTCTAGTTCTGTTTAATGTACAAGGATAAGAAAGAAAAAGTTCATCCACTAACTTAATAGGAAGTCAAAAATTTGTAATCTTATATGATTCTCGTGTTTACATAATTACTTTAATATTACAATAACATTGAGCATTCACATTAATTTACACTTAAATTTTAAGGTAATTGAATACTGAATATACAACGATATCCATTAAGCATTAAATGAAATGTCCAGAATCCACGTTATAAGCTAGAAAAACAACGATATTTGGCAAAGATAAAAATGTCACTTATGTGAATTAGGCAACTTTTTAATTACGCCGATAGTCTCTTTAACTTTGCTGGTTGAATGTAAAATGTTAACCTTAAAATTGCATCGAACCCCCCCCCCCTGCACCCGTTTTATTAAAATCGATAAGTTATACATAATTCTATATTTATTCTAAGTAATTAAAGGGTTGATTACAAGAAAAAGGTGTTAAGATTTTTCAATCTGTAAAATGTCTAACTTATTATTTCTTGTAAAGGAATTGTTGAGATATTTGGGTAATGCTAGATTTATTAAATTTTGAAAAATGCTCCATATTTGACCTCAGATCAGATGCCACAATCGCAAATATCCAGAAACACTAAAAACACTAAACACAAGTAAGGAGGTTGGTGTATTTTTTGACCTACACAAATCCGCTAAACTCCACTTCTGACCTACGCCAAATCTGCTTTACTACACATCCGACCTACTAGCAAGTGGTTTTACAGCTGCTATATGGACTTATGGCCGCAGCGCCCGGTCCCCTAGCCTGTCCTAGCCGCAGCGCTCGGCCCAGAAATTGTCTTAATCGAACCTAACCCTAAAATAATACAAAAAAACCTAACCTAACCCTAAAACAATACTTAAATAAACAGCTGGCGTAGGTCCGATATTGCAGTAGGTCGGAAAATTAGTAGGTCAGAAGTTCAGTAGGGGGGATGTTGCGTATAGAAACTCAAATAGAAGACGACAAAAAAACTAAAAGGCCTATTCAGACAAATTTCAAATAGCAATATTTATTAGGTTTTGCATTTCAATTATGCAAAACCAAAGATATTCATAATTTGAATAATATGTTTGAAAAATTATACAAAAATATTTGAACAATTCCTTTAAAACTCTGGAACATAGTTTTTTCTTTTTATTGTTGATTAAGGTTAAAGTTGAACTGTTTAGTAGAATCACTGTCAGATCCTGATGGAGCAAAGGAGACATTAAACCCTCCCCCTTCCGTTCCTCCTTCAACCATAACTCCTAAACATTCAAATATTAAACATCACAATTTAATGTTTGACAGATAATCTAAACATTATCATTTAGAATAGATATTTTTTATTTATAATGGGAGTAATTCTCAACCATCATAAATAATTTAACTATCTAAGCCTAAACAAGGAGTTATTGTTTAACTATCTTAAAGAGTTATTCTTAACCTATCCAACGAGTTATCCAATACTTACCAAGAGTTATTTTAAACCTTCCTAAAGAGTTATAATTAAAACCTATCTAAAGAGTTATCCTAAACCTGCCTTATGAGTTATCCTTAACCTACCTAAAGAGTTATTCTAAACCTACCTAAAGAGTTATCCTAAACCTACCTAAAGAGTTATCCTAAACCTGCCGTATGAGTTATCCTAAGCCTATCTTAAAGAGTTATCCTAAACCTTCCTTAAGAGTTATCCTTAACCTATCTACGAATTATCAAAAGATTTATCTTTAATCTACTCTATAGAGTTATCCTTAACCTACCCTTTAGAGTTATCCTAAACCTATCTTAAAGAGTTATCCTAAACTTACCTAAAGAATTATCTTAAACCTACCTGGAGAGTTATTCTAAACTAGGGTTTCCACCAAACAGTTAATTCTCTTGTGCAACAGTTGCACGAAATGACTTTTTTTTGCTCGAAAGTCCGCATCATTTTCGTATTAATACGAAACCAGTTTTGCACGAAATTGCGCATTCATTCGAAACAAATAAATTTTTTCATGATATTCGCATGAATACTGGTAATTTTTGCCTGTAATTTCGCAATGCCTATGAATACGAAAATTGAAATTTGTGTACAGCATTATGCATGAAAACGAAATTAAGTAATATTTGTTGCACGCCATATAGTGCATAAATTATGAAAGATTTTAATATTTGGACAGTATGGTATGAATTTCCGAAAAATAGCTTTTGCGCAACAATGCGCAAAAACATCGAAATTTCGTGCAAATTTTCTTCGAAACATAAGCAAATCTTTGCGCAATTTTTGCAAAATTTCGACTGGAAACCCTATTCTAAACCTACCTAAACAATTATCCTAAACCTACTTAAAGAGTTATACTAAGAATATCTTAAGAGTTATCGTAAACCTACCTAAAGAGTTTCCCATCCAGTTAGTGTTCATATTGATAATTACACCGACCAGAGAATTTAATGTGTTAAAAGCTTTTTCAAGAAATCCTAAAAAGTAAACAAAAAATCAATAGTTTCAGAAAATAGTTTAATTTAATCTATATTTTAAGATTTTAAGAATCTAGCATCTGTTTTGTAAAAACAAGAAGTAAAGGATATAAATCCCGGCCAAAGTTTTATTGTTTTCGAGTCTTCTTCGAGTAGCTGGGCCTAGTTTTTTTTATCTGCAAAAATTGTTGTTCTTGATTTGTCATTTTAAAATTAGTAAACTAATATCTTAAATTGCATTAAAAAAGTTTCCTTAGCGTTTTTTTGTATTTTCTAAAAAACAAGGGTTGGAAAGGTTTAAAAACGAAACAAAAAACTATGCCTATCTCTACTTGCACTTGATGAACTTGATGCCAATCTTTACCTGCACTTGATACACTTGATAAACTTAATGCCTATCTCTACCTACACTTGATGAACTTAATACCTATCTTTACCTGCACTTGATGAACTTAATGCCTATCTCTACCTGCACTTGATAAACTTAATGCCTATCTCTACCTGCACTTGATAAACTTAATGCCTATCTCTACTTGCACTTGATGAACTTGATGCCTATCTCTAACTGCACTTGATGAAATTGATGCCTATCTCTAACTGTACTTGATGAACTTGATGCCCATCTCTACCTGCTCTTGATGAACTTAATGCCTATCTCTACCTGCACTTGATGAACTTGATGGCCATCTCTACATGAACTTGATGAACTTGATGCCTATCTCTACCTGCACTTAATAAACTTAATACCTATCTCCACCTGCACTTGATGAACTTAATACCTATCTTTACCTGCACTTGATGAACTTAATGCCTATCTCTACCTGCACTTGATAAACTTAATGCCTATCTCTACCTGCACTTGATGAACTTAATGCCTATCTCTACCTGCATTTGATGAACTTGATGCCCATCTCTACCAGCACTTGATGAACTTGATGCCCATCTCTACCTACACTTGATGGACTTAATGCCTATCTCTACCTGCGCATGATTAAATTAATGCCTATCTCTACCTGCACTTGATGAACTTTAAGCCCATCCCTACCTGCACTTGATAAACTTGATGCCTATCTCTACCTGCGCTTGATGAACTTGATGCCCATCTCTACCTGCACTTGATGAACTTGATGCCCATCTCTCCCTGCACTTGATGAACTTGATGCCCATCTGTACATGCACTTGATGAACTTAATGTCTCTCTCTTCCTGCACTTGATGAACTCGATGTCTATCTCTACCTGCACTTGATGAAATTGATGCCTATCTCTACCTGCCCTTGATGAACTTGATGCCCATCTCTACCTGCACTTGATGAACTTGATGCATATCTCTACCTGCACTTGATGAACTTTATGCCCATCCCTACCTGCACTTGATAAACTTGATGCCTATCTCTACCTGCACTTGATGAACTTAATGTCTCTCTCTTCCTGCACTTGATGAACTCGATGTCTATCTCAACCTGCACTTGATGAAATTGATGCCTATCTCTACCTGCACTTGATGAACTTGATGCCCATCTCTACCTGCACTTGATGAACATGATGCATATCTCTACCTGCACTTGATCAACTTGATGCCCATCTGTAAATGCACTTGATGAACTTGATGCCCATCTCTACCTACACTTGATGAACTTAATGCCCATATCTACCTACACTTGTTGAACTTGATGCCCATCTCTAACTACACTTGATGAACTCGATGCTCATCTCTACCTGCACTTGATGAAATTGATGCCTATCTCTACCTGTGCATGATGAACTTGATGCCCATCTGTACATGCACTTGATAAACCTGATGCCCATCTCTACCTACACTTGATGAACTTGATACCTATTTCTACCTGCCCGTGATGAACTACCTGCACTTGATGAACCTTGATGCCCATCTTTACCTGCACTTAATGAACTTGATGCCTATCTCTACCTGCACTTGATGAACTTTATGCCAATCTTTACCTGCACTTGATTAACTTAATGCCCATCTCTAACTGCACTTGATGAACTTGATGCCCATCTCTACCTACACTTGATGAACTTGATGCCTATCTCAACCTGCACTTGATGACCTTGATGTCCATGTCTACCTGCAATTGATGAACTTGATGCCCATCTCTACTTGCACTTGATGAACTTGATGCACATCTTTACCTGCACTTGATGAACTTGATCCTTCAGTGCTGACATTCACCCCAACCTCTACATCTAAACTAATAATTAGTATTCGATTAAATCATTTAATCTATTAACCCCAACCTCTCCATCTAAACTAATAATTAGTATTCGTTTTAATTATTTGACCGACTTTTGACCAACATTACCGATCTATGATTCCCCCGGCAGAGGGAGGTTAGGTTACTTAATGTCCCTTGGGACACTTATGTACAATAACCACCTGTTCTGCGAAATTTTCGGGAAAAAAATCTGCGCATTTTCATCTTAAAAGACGATAAAATCATAAAATTGTGCACAACTACTTTTTCTGGAAAATCTTCTGGGATATTATTTTTCATAATTGTCCTGGGACATTATGAGAAATAATGTTCCAGCAGATTTTTGATTTCAGAAAGCAGTGTTTCCAAGAGTCTTTTCAGGTTCCTAAATTCAAAAACCATTTAGAATGGTAAATATTGAATTTTATGATACTAGTAATTAGTTGTCAATTAGATAATTTCAGCAATAAACTATAAGTATTGAATATACTTACTAAATCCGAACCCAAAGTTGTCTGTGAATGTTTGCAGTAAACTTTCAGGGTCCAAACCTTACATACAATGTATCATTTACTCTCAGAACAATTGGAATCCATGGAAACTCCCGAGGGATTCAATAATAAACCCGAGGGCGTGTAAAAAGAATGTTTATTTTTAAATGAAAGACCAATGAAAATACATAAAGAATAAACTAAAATCAAACGTGACGTAATGTCAAGTAACACTTTATTTATATAGAGTAGTAGCATGTTCGATTCATAACAATACCCTTAATACATTTATCTTAGTAACAATGAAAGAGATATATCGCAGTTTAACACAGAAAAGTGTTAAATTTTGACAATTCGCTCCGTTTTTCTTTGCTCCATAAATCTGAAAGTCATCTTTTTAAAGAAACTAAAACCGATCAAAACCAATCTTTAGCAAGGAAAACATCGATATTTCATTCAACCTTGATTAGAAAAAACTCTAATCATACTGTACTTGAGAATCAAACGTACCACTCTTTAGATTCAGGGTAATATTGAAATTTGAAATTGAAACTTGAAATAAAGCCTGTATCCTATTAGGCTATTAAATGCACGTGGATTTAACGATTCTGTCAATATTCCGGAAAGCTGTGACTTTCGATTACAATTTTTACACTTTTTTCTTAAATACTTTTTTGTCGGCATATGCATTTTGAATGAAAAAGTATAGAATTAACAAATACGTAAGTTAAAAGATTGATGAATTGTAGACCAAAACACGGTGGATTTCAAATAGAAGAAACCAAATACTGCTCACTCTGGTTAGTCTGGAGTGAATGGCTCTATTTTAATTCTTGTCCTTAAAAGAAAGTTTAACGAAAACAGTCTTGTAAATATATCAAGTAATAATTGTGGATAAAAGTTTGAAATTTGTCAATAAATGTTCATTATATTCCTGTTAGTGACATTGCAAGGAGAACAGCCAAGAGCACAGCAACCAATATGATTTTTTTGCTGAAAATTAATATCAGTTATCTAGCATATTTAAAAGAAAATATCGTTATTGTTTTGTTATCAGCATTTCAAAGAAAACAATATTTTGTCTGTCAATTCACGAGCGGAAAAAAAAACAGATTTCCTTAAACAATGAAAAATGAATGAAAACATTCTTTTTTTCTTTTAATTCAGAAAATTAGAAACTCGGAACAAGTGTTTAAAGAGATGGTCAAAAAATATTTAACATGTTCTACTTAAATCAAAGTGGAAAATGCCAAAATTTACTCGTATGATTTGAAGCAATAGGCAATAGCTAGATTTAATATATTTAGATTGTAGAAGTTTCTATTTATCAAACATGCAAATTTGTTCCCCAGAAGAAAATATAAGACAAAAACGATTGGAATTTTTTGACTTTTTAAAACGATAGTTTTTGGTTAATTTTTGCCTTATATTTTCAACTAGGATAAAAAATGTTAATTTCCCTTATTGAAAAAAAGTTTTCATTATCGCAAATAAAAAAGATTTTTGGTTTGGTTTAGAAATTAATTTCGATATATTTTTACATCCTCGACATCAGTCTTCTACAGAAATTGATCAAAATTATTACATAGTTATAAATTAGAAAATTATAGCTATAAAAAAGGCAATATACAGAAAAGTAAAAAAACCTGGGAAAAAAGTATGGAGAAATAAAAATAAAAGAATTTAAAAAAATTTTGTAAGAATTTTAGTCAACCTTAAAGAATGGTAGTATTAATAAAACTAAATGAAATGTATAATGAATACGAGGGGAGGGAGGTTGGAAATAAGTTGACCGTTATGAGATACAAAATTACGAAATTTGGGAATGAACTCAAGGGGTTTTGTGGGGCGGGGGGAAATATGGGTTTGTAAGAAAGAAATAGGAACATATAAAAAACAAACAATGCAACAAGCGCATAATAAAAAAGGGGAAAATCAGAACAAAACAAAAAACAACAAATTTGCATGTTTAATAAAAAAAGAATTTACAGAATACAATTTTAAATCTAATAAAAAGTCTAAAAACATTAAAAGTTTCTATTGCCCATCCCTAGTGATATTCATGTTTTTTTTTCTCAAGGATGTTAACAATTAGAAATCTTAAATAATTGCTAATTAGAAAATAATCAACCTGATAATAAATCCTACTGCTCCAACTACTCCACCCACCACTCCTCCTATCACTCCAGCCTAATATATTTAAAATATTAGAATTTAAATCTTAGAAAAATTAAACATTTTGATAAAGAATATGTGAAATTCTCTAACCATTTCAAAACATTTAATAAAGAAATAAATAATTGTGTAAGAGAAGTTTAACATTTTAAAGAAGAAATTACAAATTTTGAAAAAGAAATTAAATTTGGTGGAATTAATTAAAAATATTGTAAATAGGCAAAAGAATTTTGGGAAGGAATTCAAAGATTTAAAAAATTTGAAATTTTTAAAAAGACATTTTTAATTTTAAAAAGTTCACCTGTTCATCTTTGCGTTTGGACAAAGCATCAGTGGATTTAGGATCACGAGCAAGGGTGTCTGTACTACACAATAATAAGCATCAAACTTAAAATGTTTTAACAATATATTTTTAAGAAATATTTTTGTAATTTTTTTATGCCCCTTTATAATGCCACAAACAGCTTATAGAAAAACTTTCCAATAATATTATTACTAATAAAATAGGATCCAAAAGAATATCTCAGGGGAGGGGCTATAGGGCTAAGCCCTGCTGGATCAGTTAAAATCTGTGGTTTTCAAGGACGGAAAAATTGGAAAGAAACAAAAATTTCTGCGGAAGTAAGATTAGTAGCGATCAAAAGCGATTATTTTTCGCTGTAAGCCTATACCCCTTTTCATTTTTTGCGAACACTCCCTTTAAAGAGGAATGTCCATATTTCCATACAAAGGATGGGACCCCCTTCTGACTTTGTCTTTAGAGATTTCTCTCTGATTTTTTGCTTGCAGACCTGAATTGTGATCTAGTTTTTAATCAAACCAAAGTGGGGAAAAAATATTTTTTCCCTTGATTTTTCCCGCATTTTTTAAACATTTTTTCACAAAGTTTTAAAAAATTTCCGAAAAATGCGGAAAAAATTATTTTTCCCCCACTTTGGTTTTTGATCCAAAAACTGGATCACAATTCAGGCCTGCATGCAAAAAATCAGAGATGAATCTCTAGTAATAAAGTCAGAAGGCTTATTTGACCTTTAGGAAGGGGAAAATGCGGGAAAGGGGGGAAATGGGATAAGGAGAGGGGGAAATGCAATATTGAGTTCAAAATTGAGTTTCCCGACCCAATGTTGATGACTTTAGACAACCCACATGGACCTATCACAAAGTTTTTGAACAAATGTCCCAAAAATGCGGGAAAAAACAGGGGAAAATTATTTTTCCCACATTTTGTTGTTTGATTCAAAAACTAGATCACAATTTAGGCCTGCATGCAAAAAATCAGAGAGACATCTCAAGTAATAAAGTCGGAAGGCTTCTTTGGCCTTTAGGAGGGGGAAAATTTGGGAAAGGGGGGAATGGTATAAGGAGAGGGGGAAATGCAATATAGAGTTCAGAATTGAGTTTCCCTACCAGGGGGCGGAAACGTAATGTGTGTGTGTCTGTACCAAAAGAGTGTGTGTAAAGTTTACCGAACCAAAGGTGTGTACTGTAGGTATTTACAGTACATACGAATCTCGTTATTTGTACAGTCTAGGAGAGTACATTTGTTTATTGTTAATTGCTTACTTAAAAATAAGTTTAATATACATGTAGTATGTTTTTTATATAATTAAGTCAACACTTTAAGTCAAATTTTCATGCAAAGAATATAATTTGATCAAAGTTTACAATAAACTAGTCGTTATTTAAGTTTAATTATAATTGACGACATTGTTCTGCAATTTCCTTGACTGAAGTCATGTTGTGTGTCTGTACCAAAAGAGTGTGTGTAAGGTTTACCGAACTTGTCTGCAAAGCAGTGCGACTGGCTTTCTCATGCCAGACCAGCGCCATTTCCTTTCCCGTTAGTCCTATTCCCTGTTCCCGACCCAATGTTGATGAGTTTAGACACCCCGTATGGACAAATCACAAAGTTTTTAAAAAAATTTACTTTTTCCCCACTTTAATTTTTGATTGAAAAACTAGATCACAATTCAGGCCTGCATGCAAAAATCAGAGAGATATCTCTAAAAACGAAGTCCGAAGGCCCCCCACCCCACCCTTTTTATGGAAATGTGGACATTCCTCTTTAAAGGAAGTGTTCGCGAAAAATGAAAAGGGGTATAGGTTTACGGCGAAAAATAATCGCTTTTGATCGCTACTAATCTCACTTCCATCTGTTGCGTCTATAAGGAGACAATTGTCAAAAACGACGTATACTGAAGAACGTAGCGTCCATAAAAATTCAGAAAGTTACAATGTATGAATCGTATCGTAAAATAATCAATTTAATTTCTAACAAATCATTTAGATATTAAAATCATCGATTATTTTTCGACTTATTAGAATCTATAGTTAATATTTCATAATATGGTTTGTTCGTTTTGTATACAATGCACATAAAACGCCGAGATAGTTTGACCGCCAGATGTCTCTGCTCTTGATGCTGAATTTAAATGATTACACAACAAAGACACCCATCGGAAAAACTCGTTTTTAGTGCATTGTATATAAAACAAATAAAAATATTATGAAATATTATCTTAAGGTTGTAATATTTGAATATGTTTGAAATTAAATTGATTATTTTACGATATGAGTCGTATATTGCAAACTTTCTTAATTTGTATGGACGCTACGTTTTTCAGTATAAGTCGTTTTTAACAAGTCAATTGGACAAGTTCCAGATAACACCTCTGAGGAATACAAAAAAATACAAAATCATTTAATGTCCTAAAAACTGCTAGAATTACCAACCTCAGAAAATCTGCAGATTTCAGATCAAAAACTGGACTGAAAGCAAAGATTTATTTAATATTTATATTTAGAAAGCAACCTAATTTTTATACCTGGTTTTGAACCTTGTTCTAAAAAACTCCGTTTCCCGAAGGGGAGGAAGAGGAGGGGGACCAAGATCGTCTTCTTCTGGATTTACATTTTTCGTCTTTTTAAGGTTTTTGATTTCTTCTCTTTGTGAATTTCTCGAGGGATTAAATCTAGGAGAAATTATTCCTAAAAGTAAGAATAGAAATTTATTGATTTTAGACAATCCTATAAAAACTAAATCGTTTTCTTACGTTGTCTTTGAAAGTCGTCGTTTTTCAATATTTCATCTTTTTCTTGTAAAGCTGTGCCCTCTATAGATACCGGTAAACTTCTGAGGAAAATATTAAAATATAAAATTATAAATAACCCAAAAAAAAATAGAATTCAACTGAATTTTACCTTGAACAGAAAATCATTATTGATAATTTATTAGTTAATAGCATTTAAAGAATTTAAAAATTTAGAAAAATAATACAATAAGTTGAGTATATAATTGATCTTTAAAGAAATTACAAAAAAGGTATTTCTTGAAATACACAATTTCCAAGACATTTTAACATAAAAATAAGTTTTGAATCAATATTTGACGAGAAAAATACCTGTCCTTTATAATTTCTATGTGATCGGTATCATTCTGATCACCTGGAAAGAAAACATTTGCCAGTCTGCACGTTATAAATTAAGTAAATGGACTGTACACGTAATTCAAGTGACCCTTCATTAACAGAGTTGCTTTATACTTGTTTTTTTAACAATACCCTTGAACCTTAATTTTAAAATCGATGACGTATGTATATTTTTCTAGCTGATTATTTAGTAAAATTACGTAGTTTCTCAAGACATTCAATAATCAATCTTAAGTGTTTAACTTTAATAAATACCGTCATTAATATATTTTACCACCTTTTCACCAACATATCGACCTATGATTCCACCAACGTCCCTTGGGACAGTTATGTAAAATAACCACCCGTTCTGCGAAGTTTTCGGGGAAAAAATCGCGCATTTCATCTCAAAAGACGAAAAAATTGTGCACAACTACGGGAAATTAAAAATATTGCTTAACCACGGGTTTTCTTGACCATTTTTGTAACTGAGGATCTAAATTAGAAGATTTGTTTACAATAAATAATAAATATAATAAGTTACCTTTAAGCAAAGAGGAAGCTGACAACGAAAGAAAATTTGTCAAAAACTCATTTCTGTCCTTCTCGTTGTTCTGTAAAATATTTATATTTTCAATTGAGCTCCCCCCACACACATCCTCATGGTATACTACAGAAAGATATATCCAGTAGAAAAAGGGCAGCCTCTTAAAATTTCCAAACATGGTATTTATCAAATAGAATCTATTTGGTATTTATAATTTAAGTCTAAATTTGTCATGTCTCACTGCTCACATAAACATTAAAAGTACTGTTGACGTAATTTTATATAACCTTCTCTCTACGGCGTGGCGCGCTTGCTTAATTCACAACAGTACCTTTAAAACACAAAATCTTTCCAAGAAAAAAGTAAAAATCTTCGTTGTGAATTGGGAATGCAATACTTTAATTAAAAGGTCACATAGAGTTGCTTTTCCATTCCGTTTCAACAACGGCAGAAAAGCAATCATAAAATTTACAACTAAAAAATTAGCTTGCTTCTACTAGAAAGCATGAAATCATTTGATTCCAAAAAAGTCGAGGCATTTGACCCCTTCCATAATGTATGCATACAGAATCTAAACTAAACCAGTGGTCATAACTTTATTAAACATTGATCTGACAAATCAACAAACCTTTTTTCAATCACCCCCCCCCATTATGTAATACATAGGTCCGCCTGTTTAGGGTTAAACGGCGGGTTTGGCCGGTGGGGGCGGGGAATTATTACCCCACAAAATATTTTTACCTGGTCTATTGGTGTAGGTACTGCTAAAAGTCTGTTCACTGTCGTAAATATCAAAATAATAACTAAAAAGGTAAAAACTGATTTCTTACTCATTTTGCTATGTATAAAAACAAAACTGTGTTTGTTGTTCGAATTGCGTACAGAAACTGTTTTATAAGGCTACTTATACTGTACTGAACTGTACTGTGTCCTGCAGGTTCTGCAGGTTAGTGTACACATTTGAAAATCAGTGATAAAGTTATATTCAACAAAAAATCGCTGCTCTCATTCCCTCTCTTTCTCCCCTCCTTGTACCTCCAGCTCCTCAATATTTCATCTCCCTTTCGCTATCCTCCCTCCCATTGAATCACTCCCCTATGTATTTCCTCCTTCCGAATAATAGACTTAATCTTTATTTAGACCCAGTTCAAATCCTTGGATTTCAACATTTTATAGCTCTGAGGAAAGTCAAACAAAAGAAAGAACATTGCACAATTTTTGCAAAGAATTTTGAAAAATATTTTGCACAGACGAGTTTTCAGTGAAATTGCACATTTTCAGTTTTTCTTGAATACACTATTGTGATTATTTTGGCGTATTTGAGTTTGCTGATGGCAGTTTAAAAGTGTATAATTTATCGAATTTTACGCACTTATTTTCTTGCACTGATTTTGCTTAAATTTGCTTGATTATTGAGTAAATATGTGGATTTTTGCATATTTGCTTTTTTATAATTCTGATATCTCCGGTATGTATTGACAACACAAAAAAGGTAGACCACATTTTGGAAATCCCAGGACTAAGAGAATTTTGTGATTATTTTTTTCAAGATTCATGCATGTTAAAGTAGGTTGACGACTGAATGTCACTAAGAAATTCAAAGATCAAAGACGGCTTTTAAGTCGTCTTGCTACTGGCATGTTTCGTGGGACACCCTGTATATAACTTCAACTATATCTAAATCAGGCACGAATTTTATTATGTAGATAGTATTACTTACTGGTTTAATCTTTTACATAAGTTTAAGATGTTCCTAATGTTATTTAGAAAACTTTTTCCGGAAAATTTTGGAACATTATTTTAAAACATTTCGGAATTCCGGAAAAAGTTTTCGTACATTTCGGAATTACGGAACCCTTTCTCTGATGGATTGGAAAAAAATTCCGGATAATATTTGTTCGTAAACCATATCCCGGATTTCCGGTAAAAATCCTAATTTTTACATCATCAAATGGTTCAAATACCAAGTCTGAGACACACTTGAAAACTGAAAGACGGCGTCTGCAATATTTCCAGAAAAATGTGTCTTGCTGTTTTTATTTTGAAATGCATAGTCAAACCAAAACATCATTACACATCAATATAATAATGTATTATGTCTTTTAAGCCATGAAAGTAACAAAATTTGCCGTTATTTTTTAAAATCATCCATTAGTTTTTATCATAAACTGCAGTTCAGATATTTTGTTTTTTAACGTTTGAAGAATTAACGGGGTTTCGTTGTTTTCAGAAACTGACATTCACTATGTAGAGAACTTAACACAAATCAAACATGGCAGCAAACAAACATGATATTTTAGTTTTCTTGTTGAGATATATTTGCGTATGCACATCCTTCGGCATACCAGAAAATTGAAGCCAATTTACTATCAATAAGCATAGCAATTATCAATACAGGGTTAACCACAAAGGATTATACTTTACAGACTGTACAGAATGTAAACTGCCTGTTTCCTTATATTCATGCGCTACCCTGCAACTGTAAACTTGTTTCTTTCTTTTCCAAATCATTAAATAAGCCATTGTTAGATTATGTCTAAGGCAGAAGTCTTAATTCTAGCTACGGAATACGGATCGTTATATTACACGAGTTTCAGGTCGTCTTTACATTCTCATCTTTTGTGAAAAACCCTATATAAAATCAGCTGACATTTACTTTAACAGTATAAATCAGCTGACAATCACTTTAACAGTATAAAATCAGCTGACATTTACTTTAACAGTATTATTAATTCAAGAATAAAAATCAGTCCGAATTTATACTTGGAGAGGAATAATCACTACATTTAAGTCAACCAAATCTATTTTCCAAACCGCATAAAGCCAGGATTAGCGGCATAGTCAACTAAATTAGAAAATGAAGATTTATAAAGATAAAATATGAAAAGTAAAGTTTGGTATTTTTATATTTTTCTTATCCCTTAAATTGTGGACTCAATTTTGGAGCCACAACATATGACCCAGCGACAACACAATTAACGATCTACATCCTGAATGCGAACTGAGGAAATGTAATTTAGCGAAAATTTGCCCATTTATGTATTGAAACCAACTTTTATGTATTTAAACTATGGATCAAAATGATTGTTTAATTACTGGTTAAAATGTGGACTGTTATGCAACATTTTGTTCCATAATGAAAAACATTCCCCATCACATTTTTTTGGGGGGGTTTAGGCCAATTCTTTGACATTTAAAGCTACAAAAGGCTAGGATAGAGCCGAGTGTCTATACAAAGGTATCATCATACCTCTGTACTGGAATTCTGAACGAAATCGTTATCTTTGAAAAGTAGGACTAATTACAATAAATAGCTAATAGGCTATTTCTAGTTTACCCTGAAATTACTCAAATAAGTTTTTAATTCACATCCTCTATATGTACGTGTATAGATACATATCTATATAAAAAGGTGCAGTTGGCCCGGTCGGAAATGTTTATGCATATTTTGCATAGCTGTGTGGTGGATGGAAAAAAAGGCTAAAAAATCTAAATTTTGCTACCTCTAAAATCTTCAGGGCTGTTAATTGTTTCAATAAGGTAAGATGTTGATGATCATTTTTTCATGTTAAAATATATGTAGTAATAATGATAGTGAAAAGGTTAATTATAGTAATAGTAATGATACTAATAATAGTAATAATAATGATACTAATAATAATTACAATGATAATAGTGATAATCATGATAATTTAAGAATTTATTCCCTGAATGAAGTTACCGAAACTGAAATTACACTGAATTCTTCAGAAACATGTATTACAATCACAGGGTGTTACAGTGTACAAAAGTAAAAAAACTTAATTTCTTTGAATAACAAATAGTACAGGGTTACCCACCAAGGATGAGACTTCAGAGACGACTATACGGAATTTATACTATCCGTTTACTTATATTTTTGATTCCCATACAACAGTAAACTTTTGTCTTTCTATGTCAAATCATCAGATAAACCCTTCAAATACCACATTCAAGGTGGAAAATTTTTAATTTAAAATTGTTGAATTTGAAGAGTTTTTAATCGTCTTTACAGTATCCTTTACAGTATCCTTTACAGTATTCTTTACAGTATCCTTTACAGTATCCTTTACAATATCCTTTACAGTATTCTTTACAGTATCCTTTACAGTATCCTTTACAGTATTCTTTACAGTATCCTTTACAGAATCCTTTACAGTATTCTTTACAGTATCCTTTACATTATCTTTTACAGTATTCTTTACAGTATCCTTTACAGTATCCTTTACAGTATCCTTTGTGGATAACCCTGTGGATACAATTTGTTCATTAAATATCATTAGGTTATACTACAGTACTAAGTTTATCTCAATCTTATCAAAAATAAACTTCTGGACCCTTCATATAATATCAAAAATAGGCTTTTGGAAAACTGAAGGAAAAAATGGTACGATCTTAAAAATAAGGTACAGGGTGTCCCACGAAACATGATAGTTTGTGAATAGTTTTAAATGTCTTCTTCCATATTCGAGTTAGATATTAGACTTTTTGCATTTATTTATTTTAAAAAATCTTTTACTCAAATATATTTTTTTTAAAATCAATTTTACTATAATATGGCTTCTATGACAAATTTTAGATATTCTCTTAGGGTTCAAACAACTTAAAAAAACTATGGAAGAAGACATTTAAAACTTTTCACCAACTGTAATGTTTCGTGGGACACCCTGTATAGTAACTGAAAATGGTAAATCTTTGAATGAGGTTAAAATATTTGTAATGATTTCTTTTATATTTTAGATTAACATGCCTAATAATATTACACGTGATAAAATGCAGATAAACGCCACCAGATCATTTAAACCTCTCATTTTGAACTGAGAAGTTTTAAAGTAACAGATTTAACGTAAACTTAGAAATTAGAAGAGAGATGGAATTTAAAGAATTTGAGCCACGGTTTAAATCCGCCAAAACCCGGTTTAAATTAAGGACCGGCTTAAATCTTGAAACATTTAATACAATTTTAAGTGGAACCAACCATATTTAAACCGCGGCTTAAATTTAAACCGCCGCTCAAATTCTTTAAATTCGGCCACTGATGTGATTGAAACATGATTCTTAAAGTTTATTAATATAATACTATATAAATATTAATTAATTAAATATAATCATTTAAGTAAAATGTGTACTGCAAGGTCCGGATCACTAGGAAAGTGAAGTGCACGTAAAATTGAAATCTGGTTTTTAATCATATAACTCCTCTTAGTGATATTGAAAAAGGAGAAAAGTTTCGAATTCAAATATGTAGGATAAATAGGATAAATTTGCTTTTCCCGTAATTGCGCGTTAAATAAAACAAGGAGATACGAGTGCACAAAGTCGTACCAGTAATGTTGCTTAATTTTAACCATTATAACCCCTAATTTGCAGTAGAGTTTCCATTAATCCGGGAGACAAAAGGAAACAGGATTTTTTCCGGTTTAGATTCCGTAATCCGCAGGATAATTCCGGTTTTTTTTCCTTAACCGGAAAATTTCTAGGTTTCGTTTCCTAAACCGTATAAAAACTCTGGTTTCCCGTTCATATAAAAAAAAACCAGTTAACGTTACACAGAAATGTTTGGTTTTTAATCTGTAAACCAGAAAATTCTGTTCCATCTATTATTCATTTATAATTATCAGGTCTTTTATGCACAGAATTTAAAAAATTTCAACCAGTTTACATAATAATGTCAATCAATTAAGTTCCCTTTGTAACCATCCTAATAATTTGAAAGGAAAAGAGATGGAAAAATGTACATTGGAGAACTAATGCGCATATAGGGATGTTAACGTTTTCATTTTTCAGAAAAACTATCGTTTCGTTATGATAACGACGACCAAAAATCGAAAACGAAACGATCGTTTTTAAATACGATCGTTTTTTTTAAAAGTTCGTTTTTAAAAATGGTCGTTTTTAAAACGATCATTTTTCAAAACGCTCGCTTTTAAAAACGATTGTTTTTCAAAACGATCGTTTTTATAAAATTCGTCGTTTCGTTAACGATCGTTAACAACGACCCTTCGTTAACGATCGTTAACGACAACTTTCGTTAACGATCGTTAACATAATTGTCAATAAAAAAAATTTCAAAAACGATCGTTTTTTTAAAAAACAATCGTATAAAAAACGGTCGCAAATCGTTTTATTAAAAACAATCGTTTTCAAAAACGATCGCTATTCGTTTTCTAAAAGTTCAAAACGAGTGGGTCGTTTTTAAAAACGATCGTTTTTTTCGAAAACGAAACGATCGTTTTTGAAAACGAAACAAAAAACGATCGTTTAACGATCGTTTACAAAAACGATTAACAACCCTATGCGCATATGTAAATTTACAAGAAAGAAATTGTCAGCGAAGATGAACTAATGCAAGACCCAAACAGCTTTTACTTTCTTTATAAAAAATCTAGAGATTACAACATTTCATAACTCGAGTTAAACACTATGGGAAGAGACCTAATTTTAATTTTAGTCGAGCGAGGGAGAGAGCCCCCGGACGCCATGAGCCTCCGCTATGCAGGCACGAGCCTTATAGACTTGCTAGGCAGACCAAGCCTCCACTATGCAATAAAGAAGCCTCCGCTGTGCAGTAAGATGAATTAAAAATTCATTCCAAATTTTTTTCTCAAATATTTTCCTTTGTGTAAAACATTTTAAAGTTTTAAATACCATTTAATTAGGATTAATAAAAACTTCATCTTTGAGAAACCTCTCATGCCACTATGTCAAAAAATTTATAAGAAATCTTTTAACCCTATTCCTGCTGGGGGGGGGGGGTCAATTTGACCCCCCCCCTGTAGTTTTTTTTACATAACTCAAAAAGTATTGGTCTGAGGCTGTTGAAATTTTCTGACTTTTCTTACATACCCAAAGCCCTCCCTTTAGGCCTAAAACCGGGCTTTAATACTAACTGCCTGAGTCCTCAGGCACACTGCCTGAATGACTGCTTTTGCCTGTAACAAACTAAATCTTTGTTTTGACCCATTTTCACTGGTCAGATTTTGATAAAATTTAGCTTTTTGGAAAGCCTATGACATAAGGAAACGGATTGCACAAGTTTTGCGAAAAAAAAATTGCAAATTTTTTGCAAACAGCCTGTCAAAGGAAATTTGCACATTTTTAGTTTTTCTTGATTAAAAATCAGGTTATTTAAAATTTTGCAAAATTTTTACATATTTGAAATGGCATGGTCAAGGGCTTTACAAAAATGTATAATTTTTAATTTTTTGGACAAATTTTTTTTTGCAAACATTCTTACTATAAAACTGGATTTTGCGAAAAAAAATTCAATTTTTGCAAATTTACAATTTTTTTTGCAGATTCTAAAAGTAGAGCACAATAGCTTTCTAATGATGTATCATTAGTCATATTTGTACATAAAACATGGGATTTACCCCCCCCCCCCAGCATATCCTGGTTTTCAAGTACCCCAGAAGGGATAGGGTTAAACTTAAGAAAAAGTTCAAAAAAAAACCTCCTGCATTTCTTAAGACACATTTTAAAGTATTACGCATGCTCTTACTGCATAGTTATAGCTCGGTCTCGTAGAGGCTTGTATCTGCATAGCAGAGGCTCATTTAGAATTAATACAGGGCTTACTTTTTTAAAAAGTAAATTTTCGATCCGTAGCTTATAGTTAACATTTATGTTAAAGACAATAATTTGTCAGTCTTGCATCCTACCCTCTCTTACACAGCTATGTTAAAAAGTGATATATTTTAAGAATTTAATTTAAAAGTTACTACCCCCCTTCGTGATTGGGGTATATGCTTACACAAGGTCTAATTTGGAGACAACGATTTACATTTTACCGATAATCATTTGACCTTCTTACATTTATTAACCTTCCTATATTTATAAATGTAGTACAAATATACGTTTAGCAATCTTTTCAAATCTTCACATAATTACTTAAAATGTAAAATAAAATAAAATAATAAAATAAAAAATAAAGATAAGAAAAATATATTTATGTCATCAGTAAAATATCACAGTAAAAAAACATAAAACATTCAATACGAATTGGAGAAAAAATTTGATCTTAAATCAGCTCTTGTAGTAATCTTTGCAGTTTGGAACATTCTCAGGATCATCGCACTGTTGCTTGGCAGGGTTAAACACTGTGTTAACCGGACAACCACCTAAGACAAAATTGATACAATTATTTTCCAAAAAACGACATTTCACATTTAACAAAAATTCATTTTATCAAAATAACATACTTAGTCTAGGATGGTAGTTGGTGTATACAGCACATGTGAAGAATGCTCGGCAGTCAGATTCAGCAGCATATCTCAAATAAATTAATAAGTTACTTTAGGAATATATTTTTACATTATAAATTTGAGGCGAGTATTCACGAAAGAGTTATTACCAAATAAAGTTAGTTTGCCATATTCAATTATTTACTTCTTTGCAACCTGATGGTATAATCCTAGAGTCTTTCCCATCAATTTTAAATGTAAAACCCCTTTATCTTTGCAACCTGATGGTGAAAATATTTCAACATTTCAGGATGCAGATATAATGGCATGTTCCTTAACTAACCATTCACGAATCATTAAACCAGACCTAAAAGAGGGAGACAAGCAAGCATTGAGACAGGCAAGCATTGAGACAGGCAAGCATTGAGACAGGCAAGCATTGAGACAGGCAAGTATTTGGACAGGCAAGGCAACCTGATGGTGAAAATATTTCAACATTTCAGGATGCAGATATAATGGCATGTTCCTTAACTAACCATTCACGAATCATTAAACCAGACCTAAAAGAGGGAGACAAGCAAGCATTAAGACAGGCAAGCATTGAGACACAGGCAAGTATTTGGACAGGCAAGTACTGAATATTGGGATGGGTAAGTATTCAAATAACTACCTGCCCCCATCAATAGATCTAGGGCAAGAGAATCCATACAGCTCCTCAGCAGTACAACCAACACGGTTAGCAGCATCAGGATGCTCACAGTTACCAGACCTAAACATTTAACATTTTATTTAAATAGTCAAATGAAAGCTAATTCCTTAATTTTAGATAAAAAATATAGTCAATTAACTGGCAGTATTTCAATATTAAATTTTATATTTGAAATAGGAAGGTTAGGCCTTGTAACCTCAAATAGGTCATAAAATCAAAAATTCTTAAATAAAGATCTATAATCGTTGTCTAGATTTAAACTTTATTAGTTATTGGCGTAAAAGTAATTTCGATTATCTAAAAAATTTCTCCAGATTTAGAGTTTAGACTTGTCAGTTTTTAATGAGCAAGGGTAAATAAAACTAGAACTTACGCATCATCATAAACCAGATGGTTTTGACACGTGACCAGCCGTTCTACTCCATTAGTACAATCTAATAAATCATGCATTAGAAATGAAAAATTATTTAAGTCCAATTTAAAAGTTATTCAAATATTTACCTATATACTGATCACAGGTACCAGCTATAGCCCATTTACCATTCAATCTTTTGCAGTTGGATTTACCCTGAGGCTCCTAGAAAAGAATAAAGAAAAATAAGCCATGGATCAAGCAAATTGAATAATGGTTGTAAGTGGTAAACCAAGTACTTTTGTCCGCATGTTAAAACTCGTACTAAATTGTCGTGGATGGGTTTCAAAAAGAAAACTATTAATAAAACAAATTCAATAACCATGTGTCTATAACAAGGAACCAAAATATCGTAATTAATGAAAAAGGAAGAAAGGGCAAAACTTATTTGCAATTTCAGGGCAGATTTCTTATTAATCCTGGTACAACTATAGGTCGTATCTATCTATCTACACTGCTCTGGTAAAGCGTAACCATAGTGAGACTATGGTTCTACCTATGGTAGAACGTCTAAAAAATTGGCCGAAGTGTGGCACAAATAGGGGCAACGTTCAATTAGCGACGTCTAGTGTTAACTTAATTAATTAATTGAAACCAGCCTCTAAACAAAAGACGATATCTAACCTGAAGTTTAGTTCTGCCTGATCCAATACAATCAATTTTAAAGGGAAGTCCACACTGCTTACTTATGGGCTCATATACTAAACCATCCTGAAATTGAGAAATAATATTAATGCACAAAAACAAATCAGTCTTTCACGAAGTAATTTCTTTTACATTAAAAATGTACCTGGCATAAAAACTCTGCTGCTAAATTTCCATCTTCGTCGCACATATGAAACCTTAACATTTTTGGTCATATCGTTTAACAAAATATTTCCTACGAGAGAACCTTGAACATCTGACTAAAATTTATTAGCCGAAAAGACTATCATAAATCACTGGTTCGTAAACAAGGCTCATAAGATTAAGGTCCATAAAATAATTGCATTAAGAGGAGTTAAGGTGGGGAGGTGGCACCCCGGCGCCACCCATAAAGAAAATCCAACCTGTCACACTGCTCAAAATCCGAAATAAAATATCTTTCTCCAGTTTTATGGCACTGAGTTACAGGCTCGGGGCTTGCTTTCTGAATCAAAGCCAAACCTAAAGTAAAACAGCATTTAATAACTTAATGTAAAACTACTAACTAGCCAACAACTAATCAATGTTAAATGCTATCGTACCTACTATCACAAGAATCCTGATAAATCTGATATTAATCATTTTCACGCTATACAGTAAAAGTGCTGTGACGTGCGAATGATAGTCTGATGTGTACTGCTGAATAATGTAAACAACAATCTTAATTTTTAAACAAAAATGTAAACAACGAGAAGAAGTAAAAAATGTCGTTTTGAATTTGAATTATATTTATATATCTATAAGATAACCTTTAGAAAAATACTGTTTTTTGACAAACAAAATGTTTAATGATTTAAAAATCAAGTAATTATATTCTTAGTGTGTCTACTTATTGCGTTCTCTGAAAGGAATATTTAATTTAATGATATTTAGGGTGTGCGACCACATTTTAGGTCAGAGGCCGTTCCTTCTACAGATAGTGGACGTGTAGTTCACGTACTTTGGAGGACGATAATATGGCCGCTAGATGTCTCCCGTGAGTTATTCATGGACGGACAGAGTTTCTCACGCCATACGGTATCTGGATCATTAGCCGTGCATTAGCCGTACTGTGGCCATGATTTATTTGAGAAAAGGTGGCAGCACTAATCAAAGTAGCTCCCTGATTTCATTTCATAAATTGATTGCAGTGTCTTGTTTTTAAGATCCATTATGAATTTGAAATTAAATCAAAGTACAATTTCTTATGTTTAAGATAGTTTGCTGCGTTCAAATCAAATTCGTAATAAGCTTTCCCTTTTTTTCGTGGATAGGGGTCGCATATGTATGTGTTTATGGTCGGACAATACTCGGACACTGATAACTCATGGAAGAACGCGTTTGAACAAAACACTATTTCTCCGTACATTTCACGACAGTCATTGAGCATACTAATAATGAAATGCATCTTGGCGTACTCTTTTAAAGGAAAAGTCGATTGTAATGATTCTTTAAAAAAATAGTTTTTGATTCTAAACATTTTTCAGATTTTGTAAAACCTTTTTCATTCTGGAAGATTTAGCAAATTTTACTTAGATCGACTAAATGTGCATTGCTAAGTCCATTGTGTTTAGTGTGTATGAAAATTAAATAATTATAATCTGTTTATTGTTTAATCTTTATTTATTATTTTTTATTTTCAGAATAAAACATGTTTGAAATTTGTTTTTGACTGAAGGAGATTAGAATAACAGAAGAACAATATTTACTTTTAGCTACTGTGTCTTCATATGATTTTTAAATAAATACAAAGCCTGAATTTTTTTTTTGTTTTGCAATCAAATCCCTAAAAAAGCTCTTCTTAAAATTTTTTGAGGAACTGGGGGGCTAGCCCCTCCCCCAGAAAAGGCCTAGCTGCGCCACTGTTTTCCAGGATACAAACGATCTCCAGGATATAAACAGTTTTCTAGGATACAAACACTTTTTTCAGGATATTCACAGTTCTACAAGATATACACAGTTTTCCAGGATATCGACAGTTTTCCAGAATTTTGACAAATTTCCCTGACAAACAGAGTTTTCAGTTTATAACATTACACAGTTTAATCAAGAGTATAAAAGTCCCCCCCCCCCGTTTTTATACTTTTTATTATTTAAAAAATATATTTCTTCTACCCCGATCATGTTACCCCGTTAAATCATATACTAATATAAAACTTAGTGTCTCATGGGAGGATTTTCAAAACGTATTATACATATTTTATTTTAGTAATAACATCTCCATGTCACCTCGGGTCAAAACTTTTGCAAGCTAATAGCGCTAATCTACAACGCTTGTTCTTGATATCTATATATATATATATATACATATCAATATTAGTTATTCTTTGGGTATACCTAACACAGGATATTCAAGAGCAATCAATAAATCCGTAGGACTGTGCATTGGTTCCCGGAAAAAATTATTCAAAACCATTTAGAACACAAAAATTTTCACCCTTGGTAAGCACGATATTTTCTTCTTTCCATGTTCATCAGGGCTCTATGTTTATATAAATAAGTACATGTAAATGTTAAGTGTGGTTGTAAGGGATCTAGGATATCCCTTCCACTGATGATGATTAACGATATATTTGCTGTCAGAATGTTTTACAAATCACCAATATCATTTCTACACTACATCTGGGGAATTTCATCATAATATATTCCCCACATTACAGGCCATCTTTTCCCCCAGCATGCATAATTCTTCATTCGCTAAGTTTTCTCCATTTTCTTCATTTGTTTATAGAAACCTTTAATGTAGAAATATTTTTATAGCGCACAAAGTTTTTTTGCATCCGTTTTGCAATTTTTTTGAAACAGTAGAACGACATAAAAAAGAAAATAGGTATTAATTTTGCGTACGGTAAAAAAAAACTTTTATATCCAGGTTTAACATTAACAATTTAAAGGAAACAATTTCAAGTGACCATCCATTTACATTTCATTCTTGAAAAACTTTGAATTGTGAAAATTTCTTTTTACTTGTTTTACTTTAATCGAAAGTGAATTGTTATGAATCAGAAATGGAACTCTATTAACTCTATTAAGTCTACAGTCTCTAAAGAGAATGCAAACGTTTTTTCAAGGAGTCCTCCAAGCAAAGATTGCAATTCCCGATTCACAACAGTACCCATATAAACTTTGTCTGATCCAGTGATTTGCGCAATTCTACTTCAGGAATTTTTAACCTAGAAAAACGAAAATATTTTTTACACGATTGGTCAGATAATAGTAAAAGGGTACTTTTGTGATGAAGGGTCATTTAAAATAACGCTTACAATCCCTTTAAATTAACAGAGGATGTTGATAAATGTTGCCTGTTCTAATAGGAGTCCCCTTGTATGATATATGTTTGCTTAATATGTTAAAATATGGAATGTTTCTAAGGAATTTGTAATGTTCCAATCTTCTCTCGACATGTTAGTACAGTATAAAATATAAACATAGTCTGGACTCATAATATCTCTTTGGCAAATGAAAATATAAAAAAGGATAACAATTTCTGCCATGAAATTATGATTTTCAATTTATAAATTTTGATAATTTTGGTAAATGTCATAAAAGACGAATTTTTAATTTATTTTTAAATTTTTGTTTTTCATTAAACATGTACAATTGCTTAATTAATGGGTTTAATTTAGACTTTTGTAAAATACTAAAGATCTTTTAAAATACTATTCTCAATAAATTCCTTTTTTATTGTCAAATTTTACTGGCTATGTTTTTTTTAAATTAAAGCTGTAAATAATATCAACATTAAGAAGATTTTATTAGTAAGTCGTTTTAACATCATAAACCAACAGTAGTTTTTTTTCAGCCAACTATCAAGAGTTATTGCTGCAAAAAAATTTCTTTTGGTGTTGTTGCAATACAGCCTACAGCTACAGGTTACTATAAACTCAGATTCTTTGTTTATCTATTCTTCTAAAATCATTGGTTTGGACCATCTTTCCCCCCCCCTTTCTCTTTCCAATATCAAACTCGTTTAGAATTCAAAGTTTGTCCGAATATTCCAGGATTGAGAAAATTCGATTTTAAAATATAAAAGTTTGCAAACTTTTGCATATATACAGTTCAGATACTAATGAGCAAAATAATAGCATGGATACAGGGGGAGATATAAAAATAATAGCATGGATACAGGGGGAGATTTAAAAATAATAACATGGATAAAGGGGGAGATATAAAAATAATAGCATGGATACAGGGGGAGATATAAAAATAATAGCATGGATACAGGGGGAGATAAAAAATAATAACATGGATATATAGGGGGAGATATAAAAATAATAGCATAGATACAGGGGGAGATATTCAAATAATTGCATGGATACAGGAGGAAAAATAAAAATAATTGCATAGATACAGGGGGAGATATAAAAATAATAGCATGGATACAGGGGGAGAAATAAAAATAATACCATAGCTACAGGAGGCAGTATAAAATAAAAGCATGAATACAGGGGTGATAAAAAAATAATAGCATTTTGTATAATGTTAAGGAATTGAGTTCGTTGTCACAGATTCTGGGGAATTCCCAAATTCCTTAGAGGTTCTAAGGGTAGTTTATTTTTTAAATATATGACAATTCTGAAATGCCTAGATATTTGGGAAATTTCCCAAATACCCAGTTATACCGGGAATTCCCCAAACATCCAGTCATTTGAGAAATTTCCAAAATCTAAAAAATATACCATCCTTTAATATCTGTAGGAATTTGGGAAATCGAGGGAATTCCCAAACGCCTGGGAATCTGGCGAATTCCACAAATTCCTTAGAAAATCAGAGGGTTGTAGTTTAATAAGGAAATATTTCAAATGCCTAGATATTTGGAAAATTTCCCAAATACCCAATTTTCCATAAGGGGAATTATACCGGACAAAAGTCTGGTAGGTGGGAAGGTACCTAAATGCATAACTAGCCAACTAGCACAACTAAAGATACTATTAGTATTGTATATTTTATTCCAATTGATAAAAACATTGCCGAATATAAAGTGTATGTGAACCCCGCTAGATGGTATGCGGGACTGAAGTATATTCTCCAACTCCTTCTTTAAGTACAATTCAGATAATCTTCCTGGTTTAAACTCAGTTCCTGCTTCATCTACGCATTATTGAACTTGGTTCATACAGAATTCCCCAAATGCCTGGGAATCTGGAAAATTCCCCAAATAACTGGGAATCTGGGGAATTCCCCAAGTTCCTCAAATTCTTAAAAGAATTTGAAGGTAGTTTCTTTTTCAAATATAAGAAATATAAATGCTTAGCTATTTGGAAAATTTCCCAAATTTCCATAGGTTTGAGGAATTCCCCAAATATCCACTCATTTGAGAAATTTCAAAAATCTTAATAATATACCACCCGAAAATTCCTATAGAAATTTGGGAAATTTCGGGAATGCCTCAAATACCTGGAAATTTCGGGAATTCCCAAATTCCTATTTTCTTCAAAAGTACAAATGCAGTCAGGTCATGTGATAAAGGTTAATATTTACGTTTCAACTTATTGTTTTTAAGAACTTTTAAGCTATAACTTAAATTTCGTGAATTCTTTAGTTTTAGACTCAGGTAGCAAAGATTTAGGAATTAGTAAATTGGAGTTTGTGGCGGTTTTTTTAATTCATAGTTCAGCAAACAATATTAACCATTCACTTTCGATATTATTTTAAATCATAATATAAATAAAGAA